AGTTTTCTCAAGGGGCCCCTCTGGAAGTTTTGGGCCCCCTTCATTTTTTTTTTGAGTGATTATTATTGATTTATGAAAAACGAAGATTTTGGAAAACTATCCCCATACACGCAAGTTCTGTAAAAGGTTTGAAATTGCAGTGCACATACCTATCTCAAATAATGAAAGCATAAAGAAGCAAATGCAGCTATTTTTTATCGGCTGATCTTTTAGTCTAGCCACCACCCGCAGCGTCTCAAACCACTTTTCTGGATCCGCAGTGGACCATTCAGGGCCCTACGAGACCGTTCCAAGAAGACCGTGTTTAGAAGCCCCTTGGAAACCGACCACATAGAGACTCCTCCAGAGACCTACATGACTCCCCAGACTGAATGAGCCCTCCGATCAGGGTCGGTCCCTTGAAAGTTGCTGAAAGGTTTCAGAAGGCAGTATAGGCTCGAAAGTCTTTTGAGGGCTCTCAGAAACCGGCATCGGACCCCAAAAAAGCCTGTATGGAGGCCCCCCAAAGCCGGAATGAAGGCCACAGGGGTCAATGTTTAGCCTAAGGAGCCGGTATGGAGGACTGAATAGAGGAAAGGGGTCTCAGTGGGGACTTCAGGGGCAAGCTTTTGAGCCCCAAAAGTATATGCGGGATCTTAGAAGCAGGTAGACCCCTGGGATATGCACGGGGTCCCAGGAGCTCGCGTGTGAGCCCAAATATTCAGCTGGCGGCTACTAGAACCAGCATGGGGATTCTTAGGACTTAGAAGCCGCTTAGTCCCACATTTCATGGGTCATGAGTCCCAAGAGTCGATGTAGGGGCCATAAAAGCCGATGTAGGGCCCATGGCCCCATAAGTTCCGACATTGAGACTCTCAGAGGCCAGCGACGGGGCACCAAGAGCAGATAAAGTGCCGCAACAAGCCGGTATGGGGCCTAAGAATCAGTGTGGAATTCCAGGAGCCTGCGTGAGCTCTCGGATACCTTCGTATTTCGTAAGGTCAACAAAGGTCGTTGGGTCCTCTGAATCTGAACTCTGCGGGGCCCTCAGAGGCCAGCATGTCTCCTGGCACCTGCCTGCGTTGAGGTGAGACCCTCCGAGGCCGTCGTAGGGTTCTTCAGAGGCCAGCGTTGGCCCTTGAAGCCTTCGTTAGGCCCTAGAAGCCGTCAAGAGGGCCCTCAGAGGTCAGCATGGCCCCTGGAGCCTGCCTGCGTCGAGGCCCTCAGAGGCCGTCGTGGAACCCTCAGACGCCAGCGTGGGCCTTTGGAGCTTGCGTTGGGTCCTACAGACCATTGTGAGGGCCCAGAGAGGTCGTCGTCAGGGCCCTCAGCCCCTCAGGGACCATCCTTGGGTCCTCAGAAGTTGTTGTGAGGGCCCTTAGAAGCCTTCGAGAGGATCATCAGAGGCCGTCATGAGGGTCCTTGGCAATAGTGAGGGTCTTCATGGGCCCCCAGATACCTTTGCAGGGCTCTCAGAGGCCTTGGTAAGACCACTACATAGAGGCCATCGTTAGGGCCCTCAATAGACCGTTGCAGGGCCCTCAGATGCCAGCATAGCCCCTGCAGCCTGGTTGTGTTGGGGGCCCTCAGAGGCCATCGCTGGGCCGTCTGAAGCCAAATGGGCCCTCAGACGTGAGTTGGGTCTAGGGCCGTCATGAGGGCCCTCAGAGGCCAGCGGGGCCCCGGAGTCCTGTGGGACCCTCAGCGGTTGTCATGAGGGCCCTTAGTGGTCGTTATGGGGCCCCAGGGGACAGAGGTCGTCGTGAGAGCCCTCATAGATCGTAAGGGCCCTCAGAGGCCGTCATAGGGCCCTCAGAGGCCAGCGTGGCCTCTGGAGTCTCCTTGGGCCCTAGAGACTCTGTGGGACCCTCAGCGGTCGTCATGAGGGCCCTTAGTGGCCGTTGTAGGGCCCCAGGGGACAGAGGTCGTCGTGGGAGCCCTCAGAGATCGTCATAAAAGGGCCCTCTGAGGCCGTCGTGGGGGCCCTCAGATGCCGCATGGAGCACCAAACGCGGTTCGGAACACTTCTAGTCGGTGTGGGGGCCCCAACGACTAGCATGGGGCGCTCCTGACCATAATTGGACATCCCGGATGATTCCACATCAGTGATCATTTCTCGATCACTGGTTTTCAGGAGAAAATGTATTGGATTGTGCGACGGGCCCCTTGTACGGATTTTGGGGGTGCAAAAAGATATGTTTGCACCCCCATGTTTTTCGATGGGGGTGCAGCTGCACCCCCTGCACCCCTTATTCCGCCGCCACTGACTGAATGAATGCCAGTGCCTACTCAGCTACCCTGTTGAAACTCTTGTCTGTTGTCGAGTCTCCAAGCTCAACATTCCTCTTGACTGTTGAGTTTCTGTCTTTACCGAGAAGACAGTAACGATAAGAAATACCAGCTAGATTCTCCCCGACTCTGCTGGCGATTCGGAAGCCCAGTTGGGTCTCTCTTAAGTGGGACATTCTGCGGTCCGGCCTCGCTGCCTCGGACGATTCGACTTCCATCAGTCGAAGCCGCCGATCGTTTGTGGTGATTGCCCTGTTGCTGCCTATCAGTCGGCGATCGGACGGCAACTTTACGAGCCGAAACTGCCGTCACAGCGCAGCCGTACCCTGCCACCGAGGAGGGTTTGGCCGGCGTGGGCGTCCGGCAACATAAGCGGTCATCTGTTGAGTCCATGCCAAATATGTGTCTGTGTGGAAGCGGCGGCTCGGCGGGGGTGCGCCATGCCAATTGCCATGTTTGGCATGACTCATCCCCAACCCTGTCGTAGTGGTGGTCATATGTCTGAGCTCTGGCCGCCGGGTCTGCTGCCTGACTGGGCTGGCGGCGGTGCGGCAGACGATACCAAGACTCCCGGGCCCGCTCGAGGCAACTCTTCATATTGGTCGGCCCGGCCCGGTGCCTCCCTCTCTGTTTCCTTTCAGTTCATACTCATGATCGGAATTCCGCTCTGCGCACTTGTGACATTACCTTCATTGGATAGTGTCCAGGAATAGAGTCATCAAATGGACTGCCCTGAATATCGGACAGACCCTCAGGTGCGGCCCGCGCCTCACCCTCGTTGGTCTGCCTTTATATTTGTCGATGTGTCTACCTGTATGCATGTATGTGTGCACTGTGCACATCTATACACAAACGTCGATCGACTCATGCAGACAGGACTGTGTTGTTGACCCGACAACTCGAGACTGTTGATTCTGTTACTGGTGACGCCAGGGCCAGTGGTGTCCCCTGAAAGTGACGAATTCAGCCGCTGGCACCGACAGTGGGACCACAATCCTCTTTCACCACAGGAATTTGACGGCTGACTTGGGTGGGGGTAATGGAGAAGGGGGAGCCGGGAGGGGCCTAGAGTGTAGCTCGGGATATTTCAAACACTCAATCATTAGAGAGCAAAACAAGACAAAGGCTACTACCCCAACAGTCATCCCTTTCACCGGTATGTTCATTTGGCCTTAATGTTTTCTGCGTCCAACTGACTTACTGATTGCATATCCTTTGTTGGCCATACTTCTGCTCTGCCAGTGTGTCCTTAGCTATTAGCCTTCATTCCTTCATCCGTGTTCACACGGCTTCCGCAGAGCTACTTACGTGTACCGCCTGCCTGCCTACCTGTACCTGTGTTTCTACCTATCTCCGTTTCTCCTCCTGCTGTCATACCCTCTCACCTACCCTTACATACGATCCCCGCCTCCCTCCCTCCCCCCGCTGTTCTCCGCACTCATTTTCCACCCAGTTACCGACACGCCCTAATACTTGATCCTCTGTCCGTCCTCAGACGTCGACTCGTCGAGACCGACGCTCTCACTCCTCCTGTGTGTCGGCCTCGACGAGTAGCGGAAGGAGGCTTGGGTGGCATATAATGGATTATGGAACGAGGTTGCTCACTTGAGCATGACGAGCTGCACAGTCTCAGTCTTGAAACGACTGGTAGGGTGAGAGTCTGTGATGTGGATGCGCGGAAGGGATTGACTGAGCAGTAAGCACTGAATAGCCGTAGTGAGACTCAAGCTTGTAATCAGCCGCATACTTCTCTGTATTTTAAGAAGTTTATGGATTAGCATATCGGTGGCATGCGCGACTTTTGTGCATTTAAAACGAAACCGGTTTCATGTGCATGGGGAGCGAGGGAGGGTAAATGGCAAAAGTAGAGCGTGATGCCCACTGCATCCGTACATTGTATTTGTTTTCCTGACCATTACCATACACCGTTGATCGTTGTATACCAGCACGCAAGGAGCTCTGCTAACCTTACATTCACCGGCTGAGTCATGCACATTGCTTGGAAATTCTGTCCCGCGAAAAGTACCAGTTTCCCTAATAATTTCCCTGTCAGGGCTAGTTCACTATAGATTTTGTTGTGTTTTGCTGCTCAAATGCGGTTAACTTGTCATTGAAACTGAGTGACTGGGCGTATTTTATATGCGTAGATAATGTAGACCGTTTTGCCTAGTATATGATTTGGGTACTATCACTAGTGTACTGATACTCACAACCATTAACCGCATGCATTCTTTCCGCATTTTTGTTGCCGTCGCGTCGCTGGCCAGCGGCCGACGGCACATGCTTGTTACACGTGTTGAACATTAATTGCCGCCCGGTGCGCAGTTGGGGGACTCACCGTCCCGGGTGGCACCGACTCGACTCTGGTGAAAGGTGAACGTATTCCGACAGTTACTGCGCCGGGCCGGAGCATTTTGTGCCGAGCGGCGGGGACCTCCCGCGGGATACCTGACCCGTGAGATGACGAAGCAGCGAGCTAGTTTGGTGCAGTTGATGCGAGGTCCGGCGCTCTGTATAGGTCACATGTATCGGAGTACATGTAGGTGGCGTGTGCCGCGAGAGGGGAAATGCCACTGTTCCGCCGCGTGACCTCTGGCGTGTCCCGTGGGAACTGACGGCGAATGTTCGTGACCTGATCTGTGACCGTTTGACTCGTATAGGTCTGTCTGTCAGTCCCACTGTTAGCTCTGCTGAACTTTGAGTCCTCACGGCATGTGTCTGTCTGTCTACAGTGCGGCAGCTAACGGCGGCCGAATGGAGGCGCCGCCCTCCCCGACGGCGGGGGCGGCCGGCCCGCGGCGCACCCACAGCCTGGCGCCCGACGATGCCGACTCGCGGCGACCCGCCAAACTGTCCGACCTGAGTGACCTGGTCACCGTCGGCGGCCGGCTGCCCGGCTACCGCTCGCGCCGGCCGTGCCTCTTCGAGCGGTCGGCTGCCACCTGGTGGGACCCGCGCTTCGACTCGGACATCCTCGAGGGCCAGTACCGCGCCACCACCCTACCCCGCATCAAGCGGCGCCTCCAGATGGGTCTGACCTTCTCGCTGCTGGCGGCGCTCGTCTGGTGTGTGTACGTCGGCACGGCCCGAGAGCGGCTCCTGCTGGCACTGCTGTGTCTGCTGGCTGTTCTACCCCTCCTGGCCGCTCTGGCAGTCACAGAGACCGCTCGACTGGAGAGGCACCTCGTGGCTGTCTCGGCGGTCGCGGCCGCAGCGCTGTGCCTGCTGTCTCTACTGCCGGCCGCCGCGCGGCTGCCCGGCCTGCCCGGTGGCGCGGCCGTCACAGAGCTCCAGCTGTTTGCCTGGGCGGCCGTGACGGTCACGCTGGTGTACACGATGGTGCCGCTGCCGCTGTACGGCGCTGTGGTCACCAGTGTGCTCTACTCGGTGACTCTGGAGGCTCTGACGGCAGCGGCGGAGACGGAGGCCGGTGTAGCGGCGCGGCTGCTCGTCCGGACCGGTCTCCACATCTGTCTGCACCTGATCGGTCTCCGCACGCTGGTGCTCGCCCAGGTGCACATGAGGAGCACCTTCACCACAGTGGGGCAGACGCTGTTGACTCAGCGCCAGCTGGAGCTGGAAAAGCAGCTGAAGGAGAAGATGATCTACTCTGTGCTGCCGCGGTCGCTGGCCGACTGGGCGCAGGACGAAATGACCGACCCGGCGGCGGTGTCGCGGTCGGCCGGGCACGGCGGTGCCGACCTGACCCTGCCCCGGCCGGCCGCCGCTGGGCCAGAGATCTGCTTCAGGCCCTTCAACATGCAGCCGATGGACCAAGTGAGCATCCTGTTTGCAGACATCGTCGGCTTCACCCGCATGTCGAGCAACAAGTCGGCCGAGCAGCTGGTCGGTCTGCTCAACGATCTCTTCGGTCGGTTCGACGAGCTCTGTACTCGACACGGCTGTGAGAAAATCAGCACGCTGGGCGATTGCTACTACTGCGTCTCGGGGTGTCCCGAGCCCCGTGCGGACCACGCCATCTGCTGCGTCCAAATGGGACTCGCCATGATCGCTGCCATCAAACAGTTTGACCGCGACAATGGCGAAGATGTCAATATGCGTGTGGGTGTGCACACCGGTCGCGTTCTCTGTGGCCTGGTGGGCACGCAGCGGTTCAAGTTTGACGTGTGGTCCAATGATGTGAGCATGGCCAACAAGATGGAGTCTTCCGGCCGGCCGGGGGCGGTGCACATATCAGAGAAGACGCTTCACTACCTCAGGGGCCAGTACACGGTCACACCCGGAGAGCCGGTCGCAGGTGAGTTCAGGGGGCGCGGAGGGATATGGAGCTGCTATCAGGGAGGGATGTAACGCGGGAATGATTCGTTACTTTGGTTCATTCACTTATCTAATGCATAATGTAAGTGTGCAATGCTAGCTAATTTCAGAAAATACAATAGGTGCGGATATTGCGCGCGGTGAGCATCTGTGTGACTTTGGCGGTTGGCCGTCTCTCACATGATTTTTTCCTCACGACTTATATACTGAGCAATGCCATTTTTATTCATGCAGGTCATGTATCATAATTATACTCAGTCTCGGGGTATATTCATCGCTCGCTGACGTATCTGTTCCGGACATTCATCAGACTATGATGGAAAAGGGCAGAGTGACGCAGGAATTAGTTACCCGGTATTCGGCGTACTGCTTCTCTCTTCCTCAATATAGACGCACAGCCTATCCTGATAGCATATGCGCAGGTTTCGCAATCTTATTTTCGGAAAGGCTCACAGCAACACACCGTCACACCAATGTCATTGCTACTGAAATTCAGCCTAAGCAACACGGCGACATACGATGCTCGGCATGGTTTGCGGCCTCACCGTCTCCCCACAGTGCGGTGTGCGTTGGTGGGTTTATCGAACGTCGAGCTAGCGTTTCGTCGGCCCTGCCCGGTTAGGTTAGTGTGGGTAGCGCTGTGGCGTGCGGCGTATTGATGGCTTTCTAAAGTAGTGGTGTGATATTTGATCAGATAGCAAGTGAATTCCATCAATATCGAGCACGGTGTGCCGTGCTTCGGAAGATTACGTATTCAATTAGCTATGTATCGAGCGGCGCTCTAGGTCGGGCATCCCGCGGTCCTTCAATCGATGTGTAATGTAGCTGGCTAGACCGGGGGACGGCCGCCCGTGCCCCCATCCCTCAGTCCTCCACACAGCTAATAAACTGGCAGCCGGTACACGGCGGACGGCGAGCCGGCTGAGACCGGCAACGGGAGACGTTCGATTTCACGCTCGACTGTGCCGCCATCAAATGTGGCTTATTAGCCTCTCGGTGTGCTGGGTGCTCCGTGGTGTGTTCTCTGCCGTGTGCTCTAGTTGTCCTGTGCTCCGTGCCGTGTGCTCTGTCGATGGTGCTTAGTTTGTGCTCTCTGTCGATGGTTCTACGGTGTCGTTTGCTCTTTGGTTGGCGGAAAGTGCTTTAGAAGGAGAAGTTGTTGAGTGGTGCGGTGTCAATTGTTAGAACCGCGGGGATTTTTGGTGGATGAACTGAGTTGACTCGTTCTGGCGGTGTTGAGATTTAGTGGAGCTTTGTTGAGATTTGGCTCAAATGTTTCGTTTCAAACTGCTGGGTTGTGTTCGATCGCTTTCGTGTGATCTCTTCGAGAGCTGTTTTTTTTCTGTAGTGGAGGAACATTTCAGTGATGTTCTGAGTGTCTCACTCCGACGGTTTGGATTGGTTTTGTGCGTGAGACGCGTTGTTCAAACAATATGTGTAGTTGACAGCCGTTTAGCTGAAGCCGTGCTTGCTGGTGGTGGTAGGTACCGGTGGCTGCTGTAAATTGTTTTTGGTGGTTCTGACTTCTAGCTGTCGTGCATTATTACGCAAGCGAGGCGCTGTACTAGTGTGAAAAGGCCGGACATGTGCTATTACATGCGAAGGTCAGAAATTTTTCTTTCAGTAGATCATTGGACAGACCTCACAGTGTGTCACAGTCCTTGACATAAGGCTATACAATTTTCCAATGTTAACAGTGAGATGCAGCCAATTTCGATCACCGATAAATTGTGCTATATAAGTGGATCTTCCTGCGAAATATGCATATCTACGATGGAAAGGTTCTGAATTCTTATGCTCTGAAATAGACCGGTCATTAGGGTGTGCTGTTGCCTTGTTTGGGTAGGCAAGTGCTTGCCGTTTACTATCATTCCGACGATGTTGCTCCAGCACAGACCCTAATGCAGTGTCGCGCCGTCCCACCCAACCGTTCTCTGTGTCATTTTGTCTGATCTGTTTCACCATCCAATTATGTGTGTTCGGAGAGCGTCGTCTGAATCGTGGCCCGTGTCAGATGCAGGTCGATAACGCCCAGCTCGAGGACGGCCTTCAGATCTTACCATTGTCCGACACAACTGGTTTGCGGAAAGCATGCGCGAGTGAGCGACGCGGAGCAACGCAGAAAGCTGCGAATGGATCGTGGAGTGGTCGTCGTTATTGTGTTTCAGTGGAAAATGCTAACTATGCCAAATTACTGCCGTCTGCGCACACACATCTATCTCGACTTGTTTATTTTGCTTGTTTGCTGGGCAACTTTGCATATCTCCTTTGAAGTGTCTTGATATTTTCTATATAATATGTATGTCCATAAGGTCGTCTGGTCTCCTAAAATGTATCTGCTTGATTTCTCTTTTAGCCGCTGCTTTTCGGTTACCCAATCCGTACTTCATATCCCTTTCCTTCTTCACACGCACATCCATACATACACTCACAGCCAGGTCAACAGGTTTAGCGACGCTCAAACCAGCTCAAACCGGCATCTGTTGCTGTGCCGCCTCCCGCTAACCCTCGACTCTAAAACGGATTATCCCAATCTCGTCGGCGCAACAGATTACTCCCTTCCTCTCTCTTCTCTCCTCTCCCTCTTCGCCGTATGTTTCCTCACGTACCGCCTGGCTTCATTACGGTCGAGTCACGTCTGGTCGTGATTTTCTCGGCGATGTGGTAATGCTCCGCGCTTGTTTGTGAACCGCCGATTGTGTCTAAATTGCGTCGCTGCGGCTTTTTGTGTGTCTGTATCACAGGTTTGTGGGAACTGGGGATTATGAGAGGTGTTCGCCTTGCACTATATATAAGAGACAACTGGCAACTGCATTGGTGGTATTTGGATGCCCAGTACCCCCTACCCCTTTAAAGGCTTGCTTTGTAACGTGTTTGTTGCATGTTCTGCTTCCCACTGGTAATTTGATACGAATTATGTGCGACGTTTTCCAAGATATCTAATTTCAGTGGTCTGCCTCGCAGGCATAATCAGCATTGCCAGCCGCAGCGGTTCCCGCTAATTAATTATAATGATGTCATTAGCTAGCCATATATAGCTGTGTTTGTTTGCGCTAAATTTAGACCATGTTCCGTTGTTCTTGGTTTGTTTTGGACTCGCAAGAACTACAAATATAGCTAGGCATGAATGCCGAAGCATTCATGATAAGCATAACATCAACATATATCTATCGGCTGAGTTAACCTTGATCCGACGCACTGACCAGGCGTGCAATGCATTTACAATCTTTTTTTTGCGACCTTCTCATCGACGTACATGACTTCCTCTTCGTTGTGTGTCATTGGAGGCAGAGTAACAATATACTCGCTGTAATACGAAAATTTCCGTATCTACGGGAGAACCAGAGTCTTGTCTGCCGCCTCGTTCCACGAAAGCATGCCCTCTTGGCGTATTGTTTTTATCCAAAAGTAACTAAGCCTGTCAGCTCACACGTGATGCCATTACCTACGCGTCCGTCCGCGGTGCCGCGTGACAAAGAGTGGTGAAAAGGGTTCACCGGGGTTCGACGGAACTTGTATGTGATCGGTCTGCAACGCGGGGCTTCCTTGGCCGGCGCAGATGGTGAGAGCGGCGACCCGGTCCACTGGTCTCTGAACGTGTGCCGCCTGAGTTCAGCTTGTTGTTTTGTTGATGAAGATTTGTCCGCCCTCTACTGAAGTGTTTGAGTGTGTGTGGGCGGGATAGTTCGCTGATCACCCACTTATTATTAAAAGTCGTTAGTTCTGTATTGTTTCACAGAATGAACTGTGTTTGTCGTGATGGAGGAGGCGGCGCCACCCACCAGCGTCGTGACTTGTGTTGTAGGACCGAGCTGTGGTGTGGCAATAGCTTCCCACTTGAATGCTCGCTCGTCGCCGCTTCCACGGATGGTAGCGTGCCGACGGCGATGCAGTCGGTTTTGACTATTCATCATCCGCCGCCGTCAGAGGATGATGTGATTAATCGAAATGCGTAGACCAGTAGCGACCGGTTCTACCTTAACCACAGTGGCCACAGGCATTACAAATCAAATCACGTTGACTCCTTTGTAACTGCAGATATCGACTCACTTTCATTCCGTTTTGCGTTTGACTGTCTCGTCGTCGGACTTTCTGAGGCTTTTCGTTTCTTGATGTGTTTTATGTCTGTCTCATTGTCTATCACCGTCTACCTATCTGTAAATTGCATATGTGCCATCTGCTGGATTGAATTTCCGTCTGAATTTCTGACTATCTACTTGTTTCTGCCTGTATTTGTCTGTCTGTTTCACTACAGGGTGTCCGGAAATTATTTGCCCCTCCATCAGCTCACCGCCATAATTAATAGACAAAGAGCCCCCAGGTCATGGCTTATCAGTTATTTACCGATTTATCCCCAGCCCTGTCCTACCCATTCCCTCATCCGCTTTGGCATTCCATAGACCAAGATGTCCAGAGTATCCGCGCTGATGTTCAGCCACACCTTTCACAGGTTCCTCTAAAGTCTGTTTTTTTTTTGTGGGAGCTGGTTCAATCTTGCTGAGGTCCTCCTTCATGATTTCCCATAGCTTTTCGATTGGGATTAGGACGGATGGTTCTCTGTCTGACTCTCTGTCCGGCAGACCTGCAGACGTATTTTATCGTACGGCGTTAGACGCTCGTCTGACCGTCTGTCTGACCGTTTGTCTAACATTCTAGCTCTGCCCCACAGACCTGCAGACGTACTTTATCGTACGGCGTAAGACGCTCGTCTCGCAGCGGTCTGAGCCCACCTCTCCAAACGACGCCGGTCCGGTGCCGATTGTGCCACTCAGTCAGAAGTGCTGCTCTCTGCCCTGTGTCATCGAGGCGACCGATACGCCAGCGCGGGTGAGTTGATGGGGGGGGGGAGGGGGTAGTTGGGGGCCCGCTCGGGTAAGCAGGTCCCTTCTTCACTGCAACCGTGATTGCGCCTGTGAAGGGCAATCACGGTGGTTGGGAGGTAAAGGGTTTGGAGTTGGGGAGAGACTGTCGGTGTGGGCGGGAGGCTAGGGTTTCTTGGCGGTGTGGGTGAGCGGGACTTAGTTTGGCGGAGGGGGAATGGGGGATCAGGTGAGGTTCAGGGATGAAGATGATAAATGTCGCGGTGAATAAAAGGCTAAAAGCTGGAAGTTCGATTAGGTCCGCGTGTAAGTTCTGAGTTGAGTGGGAGTGTAGAATTACTACAAGGGGTTTTGATGCTGAGGCCCAAGTTGGGTTAGAGCCGCCTTCCGACTTAGCTGGGAATTTGTTGAGTTACCCGGAATCCAGCAGATCTTCCACAAATTTCCTGAGACAAGGCAGATAAGGCCAATGTCTTGGTGTGGTCTTGATGTGCCTCACCTCCCAACAGCCCGACGTAGTGCTAGGGAGTGGTTCGCCGTACCCAAACTATCTGCAACCACTACCTCAGATGTTGCTGACCTAATCAAACTGAAGACGCCATTGCGATGGACTCTCAGAGAAGATCGATGCGCCCCACACCTGGAGTCTGGACAGTTCCATCTTCGGTGGGAAATGATCTTCCTTGCGCGGTCCGTCAAACCTTGCTTCATTCTGCCGCTGTTGAGGCAGATTATTACAGCTCGTACGTGTCAGGACATAAGCCCGAGGGGCGGAGGGAGAGAGAGGATAAGCCGCGATCAGTGCTGATCTGTTCAGAGATCGTTTAGCCGCCATGGATCGGATTATAGCTTGTCAGCACGAAACGATGCCTGATCTGCGCTGGTGAATATTCTGCGGCTCATTGCATTCATTGGCGAGGCCCACGCGATTAATAGCGATGTTGTAAGTGACGAAATTCGGCACCATCGTGTCATTTGCAGAGCGCTATTTTGTGATTATCATATATTGCCGTTAGAGCCATACTGTAATGAGACCATACTGTAATGACTGAGACTTGTACTACCAAATCTCACCGTATTCCCCCGACCCTAACTCAGTCCAATCCGCTCCTCCGAGCAGTCCAGCTCAGAGATGGCCGCTGTTACCAGCCTGGCAGTGACAAAATTCGGAGCCGGCCGGCGGCGTCCCTGTGGTGCCGTCTCTCAGCCCATCGGAGGCCGACGCGCCCGCAGAATGGCACAGGATGTGGAGTAATCACATTGACCTTTCGGCCGGTGGTGGCCCGCCGCGCCGACACCGGGAGCCGCGAGCTGCGAGCGCCGGTCGGGCTGAGCCAGCGCTGAGCTGAGCTCCCGCAGCTCGGACTCGCGACTCTCACCGGCCGAGAGTGTGGCGGGATGAGAGGAGGAGATGTCGGGATTTTTGTCGCGTCGTTCTTTTCGGCTGGAAGCTGGAGTGCAGAAAAAGGGCGCTGAGTAGAGGGTGAATTGGCGAAACGACTGTTGGTGACAGGTGCTGATTCAGGATGAGTCGCGATAACATCTCAGTTCCAAATGGCGAACCGTGTGGTGGCAGGGAGGTGAAAAGCAGAGTCTTATGCGAAAGCTGCAAGAGCAATCTTTTATTCCCAGAATGTGTGATGAACTCTGTCCAGTATCAAGTAGTTCATTCGCGAAAGTCCCGTGTTTCAATTCCCTGCAGTCATCCCCTTCCCTGCTCCGGCTATTCCAAAGTCTTGTTCCTTGGTTCGCGGGTAATGAAGCAATCAAACTCCCTGTAGCACCTGTGCACCTCCGCAGCCGCAGCTGGGCTGAGCGCCATGGCTCACAAACAAGGCCCACTGCAGACGGATCGGGCTTCGGGTGATGTTCGCCAGAAATCGACTCAAGTGCTGTTGGCACAGGGACCGCATGCCATTATCTGCTGCTTAGGATTGCCCAAGCACCGCATGCATAATCTGCCCTGCCCATGTCGGCCTTTTGTTCGTCCCATCGCGGGCTGTTGCCCCTTGCACCGTCATAGAAGGCATTGCTCATTAAATCATCATATACCGCTAAGCGTCTGGTTTTAGCCGGTCCATCATTCACGTCCTGGGTGTGGCACACGATCGGCTCCGTGCAGCGTGCATGGTCTTCTTCTTTTACATTTCAAATTTTCACGGCTTTACTGGCGGTGTGGGCCTCCCATCTGGGCAGCGATAGCCCGGAATCGAGGCTGACTACGCCGCTACACGCGCCATGCTGAACACTCCATGGGGACAGGGCCCGGGGGAGCCAGACTGCTCGTCTGGCCGCACCAGATAAGGTGCCTGGAGGTCAGTGACCCGGCTGTCTATTCCGAGAGCCTCCCGGTGATTGGGCACCTGTTGAAGTGTCAAACAACGCGCCGTGCTCATCGCCAGCTCCCCAATCTCTCCTCCGGTCCTCCCGTCCTCTGCACACGAGCTCTAATTATCAGCACAGCCGTCCCTTTATTCTGTCGTAAGGCTTTCGTCATGCTTCTGCAGAAGAGTGGGCGGTGTATTCATATTCCCGGAAGCTACTGTCAGTGTTGGTCTGTTTATTTATGTCTGCATTTCCGCCTCCTTAGATCGGATGTCTACCATCCCGCCATCCCTCATCCAACCTCTTCCTCTAGCTGTCATCTGGGTGCTCTCCCTCCTCTTTCCTCCCATCCCCTCTCTTCATCGACTGACACTGTCTAGCTCTTCGCCGGTCCTCTGTGCAACATGTGAGAGATCCGCCGTTGAGCCAATTCATTGGTGCCGGATTGCGCGTGACGCCGTGCGGACATCCCACGGGGCTGGCCGCCGTCTGTGGCCCCGCTCCTCCCTCTCCGTGCCCCAGTATTGATCGGGCGGCTCTCCTTTGGGTCTGGCGGGCCGGCGCCGTGCGGGGGCGGTACCTCCGCCACGCGCCGAGCCGCAGTCGCCACCTGTCCCCGAGGGGACCAGACGACGAGCCGTCTGGACGACGTCAGGCCACCGGAGCTGCCGGACTGCTCGGCAGAGTTGCAGAGTTCCCAGCAGCGGCCTAGACAGAGCGAACGAGTGGGCGGGGTGGGGTGGGGTGGGTCGAGCGAGCTGACTGGAGGAGGAGGGGGAGGGGAGGGAGAAATGGTTAAAGTTTGCGAGTGGTTTCACCGTGTGCGCTGCTGAGTGCTCGAGCGGGAGGTCGTTGACCGAGAGAGCTCAGTCAACACTCAACAGGTCGTCAGGGCTTCTAGAAGAAGTTGGCGTCGAGTGCAGGCTTTTAGAGCACTGCGAGAGACCGTTGATTAGGCTTGTTGACCTTGCTCACCTGGGTGAGGGCATTGCCGTACCTGCTTGTTCAGTTTTCTGTCAGTTTTCTGGAGTTGTTTGTGGACTTAATTCGCCTCAGTCCCTAAGTCTTGCTGCAACATTTATTTCAATGCCCTGATTTCGTTCCCGTAATTTAGTGTTAGCATATCTAGTATCCACCCCAGGTCGTATCACTCTCACGTTTTATAAACATAGCCCGGAGAACGACCGCTCCGGTTGTTTTTCAATAGAAAAACACAATTCTAACGAATAGTGTTTGTCTTTTCAAACAACCTGCGGTTACTTCATGCTCTAACTTTGGTGCACAGATGTCATCTCGATGCGGCTTCGGGCTTCCGCTGCTGGTATCGTCTCTTGCGACCTGCAGCTGACCTCTTTCCCCTCGTTTACCGTCAGGTGGAACCTCTGAACGAGCTCTCTTCCCTGGACCCGCACACCACGCGCGCCCCGCGGCCGAGGCCCGGACGACCGGACCGCGACGCCAAAGGTGAGACTCAGCGTGAGTTGTGAGATTGCTTTAAGCTGATGTGAGATGTCTGGTGGCCCGCCTTCAGCCGTGTGAGCTGTCTGGTTGCTCGCCTTCAGCCTATGAGAGTTGTCTGGTAATTTGGCTTCAGCCTATGAGAGTTGTCTGGTAACTCGACTTCAGTTGATGTGGATTGTATGGTGGCTGGTCTACAATCGATTAGGGTAATTGTGTCACGTGAACTCCAGTCTGTGAATCCCCAGTCTGTGTGAGCTACCCTGTCCAGTGGCTCGTTTCACGCCGCCTGAGTGAGTTGTTCTGTGCAGTCCGTCTCTTTGGTGAGTGAGCTGTCTGACTTACAGTACCTGGCCAGTGTGAACTGTCCAGTGTCCAATGGCTGGTTTCCAACACGAGTGAGATATGTGCGGCCCATCCTTGGCCCGTGCAATGCCGCTACCGCCGACCTGTATGCTAACGTCGCCCAAATATGACAGTATTGTCAAAAATAGCGCTCAAGTGAGCGGTACATTCTGCTTAACAGTTTTTACAGTTTTCCGTCTGCGTCTGACGTATACCTCTGACAATGTGCGTCATCATGGATCCTTAACGGCCGTTATGGGCGCTCGATCGGCCGGCGGCTGCCCGATTTGGGCAGCGGCATTTGGAAAAGGGCGGCGGCTATGCTGAAAAACGCGCCGGTGAAGTGTGCTCGTTGCGCTGTCTGCGACCGAGCGGTCGCCCGACCGATGAGCGGCCGGCCTGGCCTTGAAGGCGGTGCCAGCAAGCACTGTCACTGAACGGGGTGTCGCTTTTTTGGGCAATGTGTATGTGTCGTGTCACGCATGCTGGAAGCATTTCTATGGGGATTGATGGGGCACTCGTTCGTGTGGTATGTGAAATGTGATTTCTTTGCTAACTTTATCCACAAGCTGATAATCTTTGAGTATCGGGTATCTCAGCTCAGAATAGCATCAACTATGTGCAACTGGCCGCGACACTCCCAACCTCGACAGCTGAAACGTCTTCACCTGCTTCCGTGTTGTCGTAGTCCCAATACATGGACACCAGTGGTCAACGGCAATCAATGTCCAGACGGAGCAGCTATGTTGTCTGAGTCCCTCGCCAAGCACCGGGCGGGGGCCACGACACGTTGACCTGTCCCTGGGAGGGTCCCCGGGTCACCACACAGTGGCACCCACCCACGCGACGCTGCCCCACACCTCTGTCCCGGCCGGGCTATTTCGGTCTGTGTACCGTCCCCGACCGTCCGGCGGCGGGTCGGTCGACTGGCCGTGCCCTGCCGTGCCGTGCCGTGCTCTGTTGACCATACCGTGCCGTGCACTATGGCCAGCACGCCGAGAGGCCGGTGGCCAGCGCTTCTTCCGGCGCTCTCAAGGCCTGTTTGCCAGCTGGTCGGAGAATGAGACTGCTGGATCGGCCTAGCTCAGCCCATGGCCCGCCGCCCGCCGCCCGCGGGCTCCCCAGCCGCGTCTGTTTGTGGATATGTGCGTTGGAGTTTGACCGCGACCAGCGCGCTGTTTGCGTCGGCTCGTTTTCGGCCTGTTTGAGTTGGCTCGTGACGCTTTGTGTGGCCCACCCCCGCCACCGTCTGTTTGTGTTGGTCGACCGCGCGGCGCAATGCTGCGAAGTCGGATCGGGTGGCGATGATACACGTGCTTTTGTGTTATCCTCCAGTGCCGCGTGCTATAGTTACAAAGTAGTCTCCGCCATATGCCGTAGAGTTCCGGCGTTATTTCTGGTGGCGCTGCCCGCGCCAGCGTCTCCACGTAAATATTCCTGTCTGGAAGGCCGCTGGCATTACGTTAGTTTGTTATGACTGCGGCCAGCCGTATTTCTGACCGTCTGACGTAGTTTTGGGACAGCGGGAAATTGTTGGAAACCAGGAAGAGGATGCGTTTCTGGCTGTGGTTAGTGTAGTGTTTAAGAAACCAACAAATCAGGATAAAAGCGCGTTATAGGCTAGGAAAAGTGTGACATGCTACAGCATTATGTGAATGCGACCTATCGGCTATCATTGTGTACGTTTCAGTGTTAGTCATTGTGTAATCGTTTACGCAGGTAGGACGTAGTGCCTTTTTAGTTGTATAATGTTCTATGTTTCTAGTATTACCGTATTCGCCGGTTTTGTACCTGCCGTGTGACTACAGCGATTGTCTGCGACACCGAGCGGTTTTTGCGGCTGTTCGTGAGGCGCCATAATGTGTTTCCACAGGTTGTCGAGTCCTTTGTATGTTGGCCTTGAGTCCTGAATCTGACAGGGCCGGCGTCCCGTTAGGCGCCCGTCAAGGCAGAATTATTGTACTCGTATGTTCTGCTATGGCTGTGACTGGTCCTTCATGTGGTTGGCTCTATAGTACATTTGTCTTCACGTTTTGTTATCTTCTTGATTTGATGACGCACATTTTGCACCTGTAACGACCTGAGAGTACTGTACTCATGCACTTTTTTGCCACATCATCCGATTCGTTGTGGACCTTTATTTGTGACATCCTCTGTCTTCTGCGTCTATCCCTTCTGTTCCAGACCTGTGCATATTTGACACTGCGACCGTGCCTGTGTTCACACTTTGACAATGAGTTCCGACCCTTCTGCCCACACAGTCTGTGTTTCTGGACTTGATGAAGTTGCTAAATTTCCGCAGTCTTGCCTCTGTACTTCTCATAGGTCCTTACAACGCTGCTATCCGCACAGGTCTGTCCCGTTTCTGACGCCTTCTCCTTGTGTTTCCTCAGGTCGTCGTCAGAGCGCTGCTGCCCGGCTCCACTTCACCACGGTGGCTGGGAGTGGTAACCTGCGACCACTGCCCGAGGAGCGAGCTGCCTCGGTATGTTTGAGACGGGTGGATAGACGTACTGATGGTGTAATGGACTGAGACGGACGGACGGACGGATGGGCGGAACAGACTGACTGGTTGAAATAGTTGTATGACGGACCGACAGAATTGCTGAGACTGTTGGGTGTTGAGACTGATACACTGATGTTCTGGTGGGATTTAGAGGAGATCTAGGATCCGTTTCGCCTGACCCTGACACAAGACAGAATGTTGACAGAACTGGAGTGGACTGATAAATGGACATACGGACTAAAACGGGGACCTCTGACCTACCGCTTACTTTCGTCTGTCCGTTCAACTCATTCCTAGTACCCTAATATCTACCGTGATACCACTTTGATACCTTACAGCCGAATCCGCGAATTCTGACGTTTGATCTGTCGCCTAACCTGTACCGACAAATTATCCTACAGAACGCCGCGACCCGGTTCATTACATTATGTAACGGGCGGTGTTCCGGGGTCCCCGATACTGCCTTCTGATCGCGGTACGCACCAGGATGTATGTACGGTGGTGGTGCTCGTTGAATTTGGGTCTGACCACGGGGTAATGATAGTGCTGTTTGGGATAATGGACAAACGGGTAGTGCCACCCGGGGCTCCGTAAAATACACAGTTTTGGTTGTATAACATTGCTGTAACTCGTCTGGGATGTATGAATATATGGACATCGAGCCACAGCTAGGATACTTTTTGTAACCATGCAACACATCTCATCTCGCCTTATATTTAACGCATTCATTGTAAACAAAACTATCAATGTAACCTCGATTGGCGCAAAAAGTGCCTTATCGACACGGCTTTAAACATACTTAGGCAATGCCACCCGGGCACTACTATGGTGATACTTTTGAATCAAGAGTCCTCTCTAGAATTCGGCGCCCGGTAGAACTCAATTTAGCTGTCCCAATAGGCGTTCCCAATGGGAACATGCAGCCCAGGCTGTTTCTATAACGGGCTTCAGTGTGATTGTTCTGTGGAAACTGACCAGCCACGTTATTTAAATGGACGCCGCGGAGCCGTTTCCTCGAATACCAAATATGCCATCAGAGACGTCCAATATTGACTGTGCTATATTCGGACGAATTACAGTCGTTTTAGTACAGCTGTGCCGTGACTACCCATGATAGCGTATTTTTTTATTACATATGCTGCTTCGTGAAAACATCCAAGCCACCCGTATCTGTTTGTTAATGCATCCCGACAAAACATTAAAATGTCGTGGAACAGGGGTTCTTTTTTACTCTGTTAGTGGCCGCCATTGACTTTGACAGTTATGGGCATCAAAACTTACATAACAATCCATATGTGTCCGGCATTGACATTAGGACGGATAATCCGCCGTTTCCGCCCCATGCCTTCATGGGAAGCGACCAGTTTCTCTTGCGGTTCGGAGATTGCCCATACCCCCTGCAGTAACTGTTTGATGTCCCGGGATGACCTTGAAGAGAGCCGGTTTGTTTATATACTGCAGATGTTTTCTTAAATGTTAAGCAGGAATAATTGGCACATAAATAATGGATAGTGACACTGGTTAGTGGTTCTTTTTTACCTTTGGATCCCAGTCGCCATCAAGTGACCCTGTAATTACCGTTTGCGCCACTTGGCCTTTTCTTTGAGGTTTTTGACATAGGCTGACAGGTGTCTGACATTTTGTCACCGCTTATGCCATGTAGCCGGCTGTGACCCGTACCTGACCTATCCGAATTCTGGTACATCCTGTATTCGTGGTATGGCTCCCGCCTGTTACTCATCGGTGATCTTCACGGACCGATCCACATGATTTGTCTGACTCGTGGGACCCTGTGAACTGTGCATGGTGTACCCGATGTGATGGTGTTGAACACGTGTTTGGCCTCTAGAATACCGACTAACCTATGCATCACCCGGCATGCCAGCCTCTGTGACTTTTGCTGCCATTAGGTCTCTCGATCTGAACCCTGTGTTACATTTTCCGAGCCCTGAGACTTGGACTCGCACTGGTGCTCTCTATGTGACCTATTTCAGTTTGTCCCCGCGTAGCCTTTGATTCCTGCATGGTGCCCTAACCTCTTAACTCATCCATCTCCTCAATGACATTGATTTCATGCGCAACCTCCCGAACCTCTGTGCTTTATTTTGACTCGTCTTTAATCTCGGACAGTACATACGTGAGCTTTGACTTTATAGCGACCCTCTGCAACTTCCTTTTGACCCCTTTGTGACCTCTATTTCTTTTTCTCTCAGGACGGCGAGGAAGACGACCTGGTGGATGATGGCGTGGACGCCGCCCAGTTCCGACTGCTCGGCGTCTCCATGTCCTCGTTCAACAGTCGAAAGGACTCGGGAATTCGCAGTCGACGGAGCAGCATCCAGGCTCAGGTCAGAGAGAGGGAGGGAGGGAGGGAGGGAGGTAGGGAGGGAGGGAGGGAGAAAAAGAAAGAGAGAGAGAGAGAGAGAGAGAGAGAGAGAGAGAGAGAGAGAGAGAGAGAGAGAGAGAGAGAGAGAGAGAGAGAGAGAGAGAGAGAGAGAGAGAGAGAGCCGAAGAAGCAGAGTTGTGTGTTGTCGGGTTATTTCAGACCACGCGGAAATGTTGCAGTCTGCCTGCCGTGTCGAGTAGTAAGATACCGCTGGATGCGTGCGGAAGTTGACGTGGATTTAAACGCTGATAAGCGTGAAATTAGCGTGCGTGTTTTGAAAGACGACACAATCTGCACTGGTATGCCGCTTCTTAGAGGAGTTATATGCTTGTGTGGATAGTGCAGTGTATGACACGAGCGAATAGATCCCGAGCATAATCTTCTTAGAGCCGGCTTAGCAAAGCCAGATTGCATGCTTTTACGACTTAATCACGGGAGCCATTACAGTTCCATGGCAACATTTCATTCATTTGTGAGTGTGGGGTTATTTCGGCGCCGAGTTAATTACGTGTAATTAAGGTCAGCAGCGTTATTGAACGTACCGAAAAATACCGGTGACCAGGCTGGCTAGTTTTCCTCAGTTACTTGGACAGGTGATTGATCAAGCTACCTTTCCGTGCGGCCGTGCTGGATCACGGGTGGTCTATGGCCGGGGAGGCTCTGAATTAGTGATAGTTGAGCGCGAGTTTGCTGTTACTGACTGATGGACTGCGGAGCTTCAGTACCTGACTGGCGCGGACGTCCGCCGGCTAATGCATGGTGATGATATACGGCTCTCTGTGGTCCCTCTGTGTGTGCTGCGTCCCACTGGTCTAATGACATTGCCGAGTAGCTGTCGGGTGAGGAGAATGGGAGACGTTCCGCTTTTCGCCTCAGCTCGTCTGTCGTCACCACTGTTCTTATATCACCCTTAGTCCTCAGCTGTTATATTACCTCAAATCTCCACCCCGAGACATCCAAGTCCTTAAAGCGTTTTGCTTCTGTATGCTTTCTTCATATCTTTGTACGTCGTTTCCCAGATCACATCTCGCTTAATGTTCAGCTCATTTTACAGCATACCGTCGTATCCGGTACCACCCCGCTGCACTGTGTCCCCGGATCGTCTTGCGATGTTTGTTTGTTTGTTTTGTTGGGTTAGGCTCTTTCGGTCCAATGAGACCATTTCAGAGCCGGGAGGATGATAGGATATAGGGGGAGACATTGGTCTGGGCAGGCACCCTAGTGAGTCGCCGGGGCTGAGCCCGTCCAGAGGACAGGCCACCCAGCCCCAAGGCACTCACTGCACCCGGCTACGGGGTGCGCTCCCTCGGGAGCAGCGGTGCCGCTCCAAGGGAGCAGCCCGCATGAGATAAAGTTGCCTGTCCAGCCCGGAAGGGGGTTGTGGCGTGGAGGAGAAGGATTTCAGTATCCTGAGGATAGAAGCACGGAACGGTGGTCTTGCGATGTATCACGCTTTAAACCTCAGTCACCCGTGCTGTGTCCACGTATTTTCACCTCGCTCTCCGTCCTCAGATCGCGGCGCTGAACGGTATGAAGTCGGGCGACCTGCTGACCCACCGGATGAGCGGCTACTACACCTCCAGCCAGTCCTCGCTGATGGACGCCTCCAACCTCGGTGAGTCAGCCCAACGCCCTCTTGTACAACCGCAGAAGTGTCCTCCGCCCAACAGGTGCGTCCCTTCCTCCAGCACTACTAGGTCCTCCCACGCAGTCAGCGTTATTCACGTATGTTTGTTTACTGTCAACCACGTCAGATCGTCCTATCTCAAATCCTTTTCGGGCGTCGTTCCAAGTGTCTGAGCAAAGCAAAGTTCTGTAGCGGACATTTCAGCACACAATATCACCGACTTGTGCTGTGCCGGCCTCCTTTGTGCGATTCGTGCGGACCCCCAAAATGTATTGCAATACTACGAAAATGCATCGTTGCAGTTCTATCTCCCTTCTGAATTTTCCCCGACTTTTATTCTACGCCGCCCACCATTATCTGCGTTGCCAGTGATATGTCCGCCCTCATTCTATTTCACCCATCTCTGGCTCTCCCATCCCACTCACATCTCTTCTCTCTCGCTCCTCTCCTGTTGTCCTGTCAAGCGCCGTGCTCCGCTCGCTGTCCAGTCCGGATATTACATCTCCCCGACCTCTCCCGGCCCTCCTAGTCCTCCGACGGCGGCCTCTCGGTCGAAATACGCTCCCAACTAATCGATCCTTCACCGGGAGAGTCTGCGCCCGGCCGGCCGTCGCCGGGCGCGGCCGATCAGTTTCGAGCGCAGTCAGCCGGCGCTGGAGAGCGTCGCGCCCGACGCAGCTCATAATGCTCGCCTCCGTCGACGCGTTGCTCCCGGAGCGGTGCGAGTGCCACACTCCACAGTGATTGCTGTGCGCTGCGCTCGCCGGAGTTTTTCGCCTCGGCTCTCGGGAAGGCGGCCGAGCGCGGCCTGTCACGCCCAGCCTCCAGTTCGCTCCGGCTCGGCTCGGCCTGGCGGGCGCTCGATGCAGCTCGGGAGATGAGGAGGCAAGAAGTGACTCCAGACGGGACTCAGTGCGTCTCTACGAATGGCCAACAGTCTCGAGTCGAGTCCGACGGTCATAAGAGCGGCAGCGATCACTTGTTTATGGTCTGCGAGCGCGCGACCTGTGAGAGGAGGTGATTAGGTGCAGTGTTGCGGGGCGCTGTTGCTCGGCAGGTAGTGGAGATACCCGGCGACCAGCAACTGACCGGTCACCTGTAAGGAGGGGGAGGGGTAATGAGAACCGCGAGCGGCGCACTGCTGGGTGAATCCCTATTCCCTATCTCAACTGGTTGTCAGTGTTATAATCGTTGTAGTGGGAAGAGGAGGGGTATGTTTTTAATGTTTTGTTTGAAACAGGGATTGCCGCTACCGTATCATGTTTTCTTGACTTTTTTTGCAATAAATGCTTGAACACGTATATGTAACGTTTTTATAGGTTCATTTGGCAGAGTGATTGGCGTATGAAGACATTGTATCGTGCATGTTGTAAATGTACACACAACTGAATTTGTTGCTGACGGCGTGAGCGAAAAGTTGCGTCATACCAATCTTCACAAATAAATAACGAAACAAATACCATCCCTTTTACGAACAAAATGTGATATAAGACCGGGCTGTGTCCAGTAGAGGCCTCTCAGAGCGTTCATATGAAGCATTCCGGTTGTAATACCGACTGCATGCCGGGTCTGGTGTAACAGGATGACAAAGCCTGGCTCTTTCATTTATGACTGGTGCAATATTGCCAGCGAATAGGCTGATGCTTATTGCGCTCCAACAAATCGAATCGCACTCTGTGACCCTAGGTGCCCTGAGAGAATGCGAAATTCAGACTCACAGCGAGACCAAAGTCCAAACACCAGTCCTCAATGACTTGAACGTAGGTCGGCGCAGCCAGTGGAACTTTCCAGTCTTGACCCTGACCGGTCGATCACGTGTTCCCGTGACTCCGCCCACTTGCGGTCTGGGCCCGACCGGTGACCCAACGACCCGAACCTGGGGGTGCGTGGAGGTGGTGGCCGGGACGGGGGAGTGGATAGGGTGCCGGAATGGTAAGTGAGTGGGCTGGGGTTCGAACCTAGGTCAGGTCACGGTGGGGTGTGCTGGGTTACGTAGCAGCTGGCATGAGAGGATTGGGGTGGGCAGCCGATGCGTGAGCGTGTCTGTGTTCTTGCGTGAACGGTCAGGTCATGGTGGGCGTGGGAGCAGGAGGGCGTGTGAGTGGGGGAGTGGGTGTGGGAACAGGGGGTGAGCGTGGAAGTGTGTGTGGTAAGTAGCGGGGTGTGAAAGGAGGGAATAGCGGAGTAGCTGTGGGGGATGGGAAGGTAGAAGAATCGAGTACAGTAGAAGAGAGCCGAATGCAGGTTAGGGAGGAGCAGGTGTAGTAGTTAGTACGGCGGGGGTGGAGGCCAGAGCGGGCAAACTTATGAAGTTAGAGCCCACGCAGTCATACTATACATGTAAAAAATAGAGGGCCGTCGCATCCATTTATTGACACAAATCGCACCACGCTACAAGTTCAGCAGACATTAACGCCCCCCCCCCCCCGCCACGCTCTTTGGGCAACATCTACGCCGCCCGGGGGGTACGAAGTAGATCAGTCTCCCATCCCCAAAAGAGTAACCCCTCTCCCCGAACGCATTTCGGACAAACACCAAGGTCGCCGGGGGGGGGGGGGGGTAGTACAGAGTATATCTGCCCCCCCTCCCTACTGCGTACCCTACCCCGCACCGGACACACGGATGCGGCGATACCTCCCCTACCGCTATCATCCCTTTGTCTCACTCCCTCCCTCGCAGCCCGCTGAACGGACAACAGATGAAACCACTCCCGGATGGGTCCCACGGGTCGTCGGGAGTGGACAGAGGAGTGGACAGACCCGTCGCGGCCAGCACCACGGCTTGGCGACAACATGGGTGAGAGCCAGAGTGTGGATCGGGATCGGGACAGCTCCCCCTTAGCACCAAGAGAATGCCCCCGAGGTATTCCCAGACCTCAGATATGAAAGCCCGGAGACAGGAGAAGATCTCAATGAGCATTCAAAGAGACGGACCTCGAACCGGACATGTGCATGAATTTCGACCGATGACCTTGCCTTGGCGTTTAACACTGCAGCTCATCAAAGCATCCCATTTGGCGATTTTTAGTCCTCCGCAGACCTGCATCCAACTTGCTGGGAGACGGTAGCTCACATTGCCTCTTGGCTTTCTTATCTTCAGCTTGGGAACAAGTTGTCAAGCAGGTTACTTCACCTACTAATTCATTAAAAAGGGAGTAACTGACAAGAAACTTAGTAAGATTGGGCCCAGGACAGGTTCCCAGCTCGATGAATTATTACCTTTATTGCATTCTTTAGCATTATTACCTTTATTATCTTCTTAAACTTTATTTCTATGGCTTTATTACCTTGCTCGAACCCCGAGTTTTGGTACAAAGCCGTCCCCGAAATCCATGAACATGTCAGGTCCGGCCATGTTAGGCGATAAGCACATTACAAGTGACAAAGGAGAAAATACAAAAGTGCTTACCGGCAAAAATGCTATTGGAAATTTCCTACTTTGCGTGATGTCCACCTTCCAAAACAGTCCCACCCGACAGGCTTTATTTACTAATGATATTTCCACACGTAGGTTGCGAAAATTCAAGATCCTATCTCTACAACCACTGATCGACAAGGCACATCCTAATGTAACATAGCAATTAAAATTGATAACAAACACATGCAGCGCAGACAGAATACCGCTTAGAAACGATGTCACTCTCATATTTGCCATAGAAGGCCTCTGAATTCTGATTCTGCCGATATGTCACTCGAGCATCTCACACCAAGCCACGATATCAAGCACTGTCCACAGCAACATCCCACCCACCCAACTGTCCCACCCCAAAGTCTTCCACCATCCCTGGCAATACCTGCTGAGTACTCAGTGCTCCTGGGTACTCACTGCTCGTAAGAACGGGACGCGGGATCGCAAATGGACACGAATACAGCGAAGCCGGACGCTCGGGTCTGGTTGGCTATGCGCCCTAATCCATCATTATCAACACACGACAGTATTCCACCTCTAATAAAATCACACTGCAAAGCGAGGACAGTTGTCGAACACAAATGCGCCCAACCAATCCAAAGCATCCGTCTCTAAGAAACGAACAGTTCTTTCCTTGCACATGACAAAGTTGATTGAAATCGCGGTATTCAGTATCACAGCCAAGGCCATATATAGATCACAGCATGGTTTCGCTCAAGACCCTAAAAAACAGTTTCGCTCTTCGACCTGTGCCTGCGGCTAGCCTGCCGATCAATTTCGATTTCGAGACCCGACTACATGATGCACGACATATGTACTGAACAGCACTTAACATTCGTTAAGGTAGTCTGGTTGTGTTCGGTCTTCAGTAGGGCGGACTTCACTGGACTTAAATTTGCACTCGAATCTCGATTTGTTCCACGTTCAGAGTTGACGGGTGATCCTGAACCGCGTCGTGCTTCTCGGCTGAAACCAATAAACGAACGGTTACTACTTACAAATACAATGCAATGCACATATTTCTTAAGTTATATTTGTCACAACGACTGGTCAATAAACGAAACATGTTTTCACTCTAATTTTACGCACGAGAACCAATAATAATAACCCGCAAGGTGCGGTAGCAACTAGCATCTTTTCCAAACGAAAATAAGCTGGCTAAACTACTTATGCTTTTTTGCAACACTGAAAGCTTGCTACGGCGTAAGGACAATCAGAATCTCATATGGCCTGTGTCTGTAGATATTTTTCAAGTCAGGCAGAACATCGCAGAAAGCGATTGTATCCCAATTAAATATTATGTAAGTCCAAGATTATATAAAAGCTGAGATGAAGCGTCCTAAGGGTCGGCGATCGGGTGTCGAGAGTGCGACATGCATTTCATACTACAGACATCCAAGGCGTGCGGTTGTGCGAGTTTTAGATGGCGTGATGCTCTGCTGACTCGCTACGACTAACGCTTCTAATGGCTAACCTTCTAGAAACTACTGAGCGCTGGTCGGATCACACTACATTACAGCGACAGCGCAGTTCGGACTTACCGTTCCCGCTAGGTCCCGGCGGCGTTCGGCAGCTCGGCCACTCCACGAGTTACTTCTGTCCTTCCGTCACCCGACTCGGGAGCTGATTGGTGATTATTCTCACTGTCCGTGTTCTATTTCATCGTGCCACGGATTGTCCGAATGCTACTTTTACCTCGCCCCCATCAGTGGCCCGCGGTGGTCTCGGAGACTCGCTCTCGGCCACCTATTGCACTATCTGGACAAGCCCTTATACGATATTCCTGGCCTCTGTCTGCCTTTACTGACCACAGGATGGATGCGACTCATCAGGTGTTATCCCCAAAGGCCTCCGTGTATCCCTTATACCGTCCACAGAAATACGTCATTTCGCCAAACCCTTTGTAGTACCCCAACGGCCTCTGTGTATCCCTTTATTGTCTATAGAATTATGAACTCTCAGCCGTCATAACTGATTGCTGTATCACCTTTGACCTTTGTGTCCCTCGATGACCCGTAACACCAGACTAGCTTCACAGCGGCTCTCCTTCTGACATCCGCGTCTTTTGATGAACCGTGGAAGCAGGTCAGCTCCTCAGTTGCTCTATCCTGACCTCCGCGTCCCGTGACCCGTATTACCGTGCATACCCCTTTGCTGCCCTCCCTGACCGTGTCGTCTCCCCTGAAGGCCCGTAGTATCAGGGTTATCCATCAGTTGCCCTCTCTGACTGTGTCCTCTCCCTGTCTGCCCACAGACATGATGCAGCGGGTGTTGGACGAGGCTGACGCCCTGGATCAGCAGGAACCGGAACACCTCCTCGCACAGCAGCTGATGCAGCGGAAACTGAGCGACCTACAACTGGTCCGCTGCGTCCAGCAGATGTCCAACAAGTCCAACTACTTCATCAACCCGCCCATCAACCGGCTGACGCTCTTCTACAAGAACGCCGACTTTGAGCGTCAGTATCGGCTTCAGCACGCGCGCCGACACCACGCGGCCGCCAACGCGCTCTCATTGCCCAAGTACAACACTCTAGTGGATGCGGTCGTGGCCACGATAGTGTTTGTCGTGCTGGCTGTGGCGGTAGCTGCCACGCTGCGGCCCGCCGCCGGCTGGTTCGCGGTCACGGCCCTCCTGGCAGCCTGGTTGGCGCTGGTTCAGGGTGTGATGTGGTGGCGACTGGCGGCTGGCGTGTCTCGCGATGAGCGGGAGCCGTTCGCCCGCGCCTACTGCTGGCTGACCGGCTGGTACCCGTTCCATGTGATCGGTGGCTCCCTGGCCGCGCTGCCAGCGGTGGTTGTGTTCGCCGGATGGTCGTGTGCCGCCTGGTCGGGAGACTGCGAGCGAGCAGAGTACTACTTCCTGGCCATGCTGGTCGCTCTGGTCCACTTCTGCAACTTCACGCAGCTCAACTGTTGGCTCAAGAGCGCCCTGGCGGCGGTGGCCGCGCTGGCGATGGCCCTGCTGGTCGGCTTCTCGGCGTGTCGATGCGGCGACGACCAGCGTCTCCTGCCGACTGCAGACCTCTCAGCAGCCATGGCCGCGCTCGTCGCTCTGGTGGCCATCCTCAACCGGGAGTTCGAGATCAGCTACCGGCTCGGGTTCTGCGTGAATATGATCGCCGCGCGTGATAAAGCCGAAGTCCAACGCCTAAAGCAGCAGGCAGACGGTCTACTGCATAACATCATTCCTGAACATGTGGCAGACGTGCTCAAGACCAAAGCCAAGTATTCGGAGAACCATCGGGACGTGGGCGTCCTCTTCGCCAGCATCATCAACTTCAACGATCTCTACGATGAGACGTACCACGGGGGCAAGGAGTACTTACGCGTGCTCAACGAGATCATTGGAGATATGGATGATCTTCTGCATAAGTACACCAGCGTCGAGAAGATCAAGACGATTGGTAGTACTTACATGGCCGCGTCAGGGCTGAACCCGAGTCTGCGGCGCGACACGGCGCGGCCCGACCAGCATCTGTTTGAGCTGATGGAATTTGCCATGGACCTGCAGAAGGCCGTAGCGGCCTTCAACGTGTCGCTCTTCGAGTTCGCGCTGGAGCTGCGCATTGGCTACAACATCGGTGACGTCACCTCGGGCGTCATTGGCACCACCAAGCTGTACTTTGACATCTGGGGCGACACGGTCAACATCGCCAGTCGGATGGACTCGACCGGCGAGCCGGGCCGCATCCAGACCACGCAGCGGTGCGCGCTGCTGCTCGCGCCGCGCTTCGATTTTGAGAGGCGCGGTGAGGTGTTTGTCAAAGGAAAGGACCACATGGTGACCTACTACCTGAAGGGGCCGCGGGTCGGCGGCGGCAGCGCGGTCAGCTAGAGGGCCGGCCGGCCTCGCCGCCCGCCCGCCCGCGACCCTCCGGCGCCTCCGGGCGCTGTCTCTGTGATGTTTTTACCGTTACGCTTCTCTCCATAGGCGGCTGATGCGCCGCGGCGGGTGTGAGCCCGTCCCCGTGCTGATGGAATTCGCCGGGTCTAGACCGGTAGCTAGCGGCCCGCGCCGGCGGCCAACACGCTATTTACAAAAAGGGCCGCCGGACAGAGCTTATCAACTGCCGAGCAGCGCGCTAGCGTCCGACGCGCGCGCGCCAACTGTGACGGAAATGTGTGAGATGTGTTGGCGCCGCCAATAAAGTTCCGCGTGCGCCGTGACTCCTCCTGTATCTCCTCTGGGGAGCAGGGGAGGGGAAGCCGCTCGTGAGGAGGGGAGGGGGAGACTTCCGTGCCGATGGCGGAAGTAATCAGGGAGCCGCGGCGCCGCATCAATGTATTCCTGAGCGCGGTCGAACGGAAGGAGGCGCCCGGCCGAGAGACGGCGGAATATCTGATACTGGTGGGCCGGCTCCGGGGGAGGGGGGGGGGAGACGGAAATGATCACCTGTTGAGCTCACCGAGAACAGGAACGAGACTGGAGCACGCTCCGGGAAACGCGCGCGCTGCGGAGCCAACGCCGCTGAGCACATCCCGGAAACCAGCAGCGGGCGTGCAGAAATAGTGTATTAGGTACAAATGCAGCCGAGCGCAGAGCAGAAGTGGGCGTTATTAGCTATGCTAAAATTAGCTTTAGTTCGAACTACGGTAAAGTTGTCAGTGATGTTAATTAGTTAAGGTTATAGCAACATGGTAAATGTTAGGAATTTTAATACCACCACACTACCTTGCCATTCTCAGTCAAACATTCCATTTCTACCGTGGCCAAGCCCCGCGTCTTCTGCACACATCGGGTCAACTACCCTCGCGTACAGCTACTCTGCTCATCGTTCGCGTCTTGTCAGCGACACCATTACAGGAGCACCTTGTCAGACACTAACTACGTCTGGCTACCAGGAACTGGGCGCCCTGCTCGCCGGCGAATTCCGCTAATGGACTACCGAGCAAAAAAGTCGCCCGTCTCGTCCGTACGACGTCCACTTACGGCGTCTTATTGCGGTGACCTTTCCAGGTAGGCGGGTTCCTTCCCGATCACCCTGTGGGGTCTTCTCTTGGAGTCCGAGTGGGCGTTAGTGTGTCTAGGGTCCGTCGGTGGTTGGTAGGATGTCGCCGGGGTCTGAGTCGCCCAGACCCGGCGAACAGCGGCGAGCGGCGGTCCGGCCCCGGCGCTGAAGGAACAGTGCTGACACCTGACGGTGGAGAGGGTAATTAGTGGTGGCGGAACGTGGCGCCCGTCTGTGAGTAGGGAGGCGAGGGGTTGGGGAGCTGGCGAGCTGAAATGGATTTTTTTACAAAAACATGCGGTGACTGCAAAGTAAGGAAAATTGTGATAAGGTGTGAAAGGTGTTATGAACCTCAGGAACCTAAACGGAGCATAGGTTATCGTTTAGCTAGAACCATTATCGTTTGGATAGTCATCTAAACGATAATACCTATTCCTTGATGAGAAAATAACATGAAACATCAGATTACCAAAGTATCGAGCAAGCTCGGATTTGTTAACCTTTTTTAATCTGTTTATTTGAGTTCAATTATAACTATAAGGCGACTTAGTGCCGATCAGTTCCCGATAAACCATTTAATACCTAAACCAAATAATTTCATTTAAGTTAAGCCTCTGGCTTTTCACTACTGGAATCCAGAATCGAAAGTATGACACATTACACACCTTCAATGCAGTATTCTCAGAAAGAATGAAACTTGACTTAGTGGTACAATACCGCAATTAATTGCCCAGTCATTTCAAGGGCATGACAAAGAAAGCACTTCTGTAGGTGCATAAAATCGCCACAAAATATGCGGTAGGTATATGCTATAAAATACCGGCACATTAGAACATCCATAAGTCACATCATGACGAACGCTTGATAAACCCTTTTGCAATAGTGATAACTTCTCTTGTTACACACACAAAGCTAGTCAGTCGTCACCAAAACAACTTATCACTTGAGCTCACGCAACATTACACTTCATTCATCCATCCGGGCGGCTCCGAGCCACCTCTAAAAGCCGCTCTCGGCTCGGGCCGCTCAGATAAAACCGGGCGGGTTCGCCGGGCTCGGCCAGTCTCGCGTAGATCCGGGGCCAGGGCGGACGGTCGGCGGCGCGTCACGCACTCCCTAGAGCACGAGATCCGCATTCATCGCCGCTCGGTCGATTCCATCAGCCACAACATGTGGTATGTGTTGTGTGCTGTCCTTCTAGCCTCGGCTGTCTATGGAGAGTCAGAAAGCTCGCGTCCGATTGTCGCTACTGTTGAAGGACAGGTCGAAGGTCTGACCTCCACCAGCGCTGACGGCAACGTCTTCTACAGCTTCAAGGGCCTGCCGTACGCCCAGCCGCCGACTGGAGAGCTGCGGTTCCAGCCTCCGAGGCGTCACCTACCATGGGCAAACATCCTCGACGCCTCTGAGCACGGCAGCCAGTGCGCGCAGTTCGACTTCAGAAAGAACGCCACTCGGGTAGGCTCGGAGGACTGTCTGTTCGCCAACATCTACACACCATGGCTTCCTGGTAAGGCCGACTCGCCTCGGCGAGGTCTTCCCGTCATGGTTTACATCCACGGAGGAGGGTTCTTCTTCGGTGACGGCGATGCCGAGACCCACGGTCCCGAGTATCTGATGGACGAGGATGTTGTGGTAGTCACCTTCAACTACCGGCTCGGAGTGTTCGGTTTCCTGACGACGCACGACGCGGCAGCTCCTGGCAACTTTGGCTTGCTGGACCAGGTGCTGCTGCTGCAGTGGGTGCAGGACAACATCGCCGCGTTCGGAGGTGACCCCCAACAGGTGACCATCTTCGGCGTGTCGGCCGGCGGAGCCAGCGTGTCTCTGCTCGTTCTCAGTCCGCTAGGTAAGGGTCTGTTCCACCATGCCATCAGCGAGTCGGGTGCAGCAATCGCCAGCTTTGCTGCCAGTGGGAAAAAGTCCGACCTCGCCAAAGAATTCGCCGAGTTCCTCAACTGCACCACCGATGACCCGGCGATGATGGTTGACTGCATTAGGAAGGCGCCTGAAGAAGACATCATGGATGGCAGCCTGACGCTGAGAGCCTTCATGAATGCCTTCCAGCCTCGAGTAGACTCTGAAGCTGAGGTGCCGTTCCTTCCGAAGGACCCCCGGGTCCTTCTGGAGACCGGCGAATTCAACCTCGTGCCGTGGATGAACGGCATCACCGAGGAGGAAGGCTACGCGTTTGTACCACTGATCATGACGAACCGTAAGCTCACAAACGGCTTCCTAGCCGGTGCGCCGCAGGCCTGGGCCGGGCTATCCCAACTCGCCCCTCCGTTCACGCTCGACTGCGGCGCAGACATGACCAAGGAGCTCGCCAAGATTATCGACTTCTACTCCTCTGACGGCAACTTCAGTGTGGCCACCATCGCGAGAGTCCTCTCTGACCGCATCTTCGTCAGCTCGACTTCCGAGGAGATCCGCTTGGCCTCTGCCCACGCCCCCGTCTACAAATACATCATGGATCATCGCGGTGAGGGCCGACTGCGCCTCACAGAGCTCGAGCGCCTACCTCTGCCCGACCTCGGCACCACCCACGGCGAGGAGCTGTTGTACATCTTCGGCACCAACAAGAGGCCCCTCGCGGAGCCGGGAACGCCGGAGCACACCATGATTCGCTTCATGACCACCCTTTGGACCTCCTTCGCGCGGACCGGCCGGCCCAGCTCTGATGTCCTACCCATGCCCGACTGGCCCATATTCACCGAGGACAGTCAGCGCCACATGAGGCTCAACTCGCAGCCCGAGATAGGAGAGAGGCTGTTTGAGGAACGGGTCAACTTCTGGCAGACGGTACCAATCAACGAACCATGGAGGCATGCCGTGCAGACCGAGTGCGAGACGGAGAAGGCGGCGCAGACGGAAACAGGAGGCTACAGTGAGGGTATGTATTTCGTCGAGAGCAGGTTAAGAGAAAAATAATTCCGTTAAAATAACAATAATAGTGTTTATGAAACATAATAAGGAAAGCGTAGTGAAGTCTATGATCAGAAATTTTTTGATTGAATTAATGCTATTTTTGCAAATATGTTATGCATTTTTCAGTTCATAACTTACAAACCCCTGGCCTTGCACTCATCATTGATGGAACTGAAAGCCTGCTCCATTGCCATTGCAGTTCCATTGCAGTTCCGCTGCAACATTGCCACGCCTAGTGAACGTCTTCCATACCCATTTCACCACGTGCATTTTTCGATTACATGACTCTGTGTTCCCACAGAGGCGAGCTCGTCAGGCACGGCCGGCGCGCCTCCGCCCGCCTCCCACACGTCTACGTCCGGGTCGGACTGCCTGGAAACCAGCGGCCACCCGTGCCCCGCCATGGAGCTACTCCTCTGAGCACATCATTCGATGACGGGAGCTCTCTCACGTCCCCACGCCACTCTGAAACCGGCCCCGTGAGGCGACGAACTCGGCGCTCGGGGCGGCGGAACGCGCCGAGTCATCGTCCCTGGACAATGGAAGCCAACTGCACCGCCACCGTCCGTCATTATTAGTTTCGAAGGCTGTTCGGGAGAATCGTACAGGTACAGTCACGATGACGGGACAGAATCGCGGTGTCTTGAAGCGAAAAACCGGGTCCGATGAAACTCAAACTGGTTAGGATTATGGAAATATGATGGGATCAGAAACTGTCAGTGAACCATAATGACCTCCCGTTTCCATATTGTCTGCAAACTGAGGTTATTGATCCCAGGGCAAAGCTTTAATCCCACAAACATAGGAACTCGGGGATGCATTGAACCAGCCAATTCGACGGCCTATAAGCCTTTAGCTGCTCTCTGTTCCTACGTGGCAGGGTCTATTCCTCGTATATGGCGCTCTTATATAATTGTTTAGTGTCAATTTACAGCCAGGAACCGTGAAGGTATCAGCTCGCTCCACGTCGGCATGTCATAATTGGCAATTGGCAGCAACGGGAGCTTGCAGCCGTGGAAACTAGAAGAATTATTTGATAATCTATCGTCAGGACCGCCTTATATCACGCATCACTAAAGGCACAAGAACTGAAGTGGGCGTACTATGAACAGAAGCTGGCGTATGACAGCCGTAGCTGTATTGTTCGTAAAATACATAAACGTTATTTTATTGACACCATGGCAACCTGAGGCCTGTTTCACTAAAAACTTGTATTTACAAATGTTTGTAGTTTACAATTCATAAGTATTTTTACCAACTACGTAAAAACCGATTTCACTAAGCTTCATCGCCAGTGGCACCTCCGATAAGAAAATGTTTGCAAATAAACTTGTAAACAGTAAAAATGTTTTTAATCAAGAACTATAGCATGTTAAAGATATTGCTTCTTTGTATCAAATATTGTCTAGTACCATGTCAAAAGCTGCCTAATTAAATTGTAAATAATGATGCTGTTGGAAAAAGATATAAATGATAGTTCACATTGCCCTATTATTGAAAGAAAATAACACGCAAAACATTTGACAGCAGAAGACTGTTGAATGCAATTATGGCGCGCGAATGACAAAACATGACGATATTTTAATACCGATTATTTTGCTTCTTAGGGTGTGTGCTAAGTAAAAATTGAGCATGAAACGACTCAACAAAGCATAGTTTTTCTGAATATATGACTGTTTTGCATTATTGCACAAAAAGTATCAAAATTCCGAACGTCAGGACCACTGGAATTTCAGGTTTGTAATTACGATGTTTTCTTTCAAGTTTCTGGTCTTCGTGAAACAGAAAGTTTGCGATTCCCATGTTTTCTAGCAAACTTTTCCTTGTAAAAAAGTTTGCAAATTTTAAACTCAAAATTCATGTTCAAAGGTTTCGTGAAATCCAAATCTCAAATGTTGGTAAATATTTCTTGTAAACTCAAACTTTTTCTTTGTAAATACAAGTTTTATTTGTTAGTGAAACAGGCCTCTGTCCGTAACAAATTTAAGAATGCCGATGACAATAAGAAAACTGCCAACCAACAAGGTACAAATTAATGAAATCTGGGAAAACCAACATCGAACACATATTATAAACTGCGTTCTTATTTAATGCCTACACGTATTTAATAAACGTTACGTTAATTAACGTTACATTAGTTATAGTTACCTGGTATGGTATGAGTAAGAACCACATACCTTAAAAAATAAAAAATAAAAAACGGAAAAATCGAGGTGTGCCAGCGAAAAACAATCTACACGATAAATAAGAAATAATCAATGTAGCCACCACAACATGACCCCCTTCACTGGACGGTCTGAGCCGCTACCCCCCTCACCTGGGACCAGTCTACCACGTCCTCGAGTCTCCGTCCGCCGCTCAGAGAAGGAGCCGCTGTCACCGACGGCTGAACCACCAGGGTCGCCCGGTCACGGTCTGAGGTCACAGAGGTCACCGGAAGGTCATACAAATGTCGACAGAGGACCCAAAGCCGTGCGGTAGGCGACTTTGGGCGCGAGAACAGCGGGTGGGTCGCTAACTGCGGGAAATTGTAAAAATCACTAATGCATATAACTCTGCATATGTTGCAAGCCTAACAAAACCGCTATGTACTTCGAAAGATCAACCAATACGGAAACGTGTAAAAGATTATCGGTTTTGACTGTTACAGCGCTCAAAAATATCATCAGTGGACTTCAATAGCCTCGCATCTTCCTGACCTCATCCTCCCTCTCTCGCCTTATCTCATTTACGCTATTTCAATTTGAGCCCCTCACCCAGAGTACCATTACATATGTAGTAAAGAGCCAGTTACTAGCCTACGAATATATTCAAGAAACAATTAGGTACAAAAAATTGTTTCTTGAATATATTCGTAGGCTACTGGCTCTTTACTACATACCTATCCGACTCTTTACTACAGTGTCCTGATTTTCGTGAATTTGGGTGGAAACCCACACCTAACAGATTCTCTTTGTGACGTCCCGGAAAGCCAAACGACGTCGCTGACAGATAAAAGTCGATAGGTATATCGAACACCAAAAGCAAACTAACAAAGAAATATCACCTCTGTAGCCTAAAAACACGGCTATGCAAAATGACAATAAATATATCCTAAGTCCTCAAAAACTCACTCTTACACTCACTCCCCTTTCCTGGCCAACTGCCTGCCGCAACAGTAAACAACGCGGTTTTATTTTATTTTTGTTTTCTGTGCGTCAGATATGGATAAGTTTTTTCCTTTACCATGTGAAGGTAATGCTGCCATATGAAGGAGAAAAGATGTCGGAATAGAGGGATCTGAGGACGTCGTTTTCCACTTTTCAGTTTTAGTAACTGTGCAGTGTATAGATAAAAATTAATCATGCGAATATATTGCTTGGACATTTATCTATAAGCACGCAACATACCTTTTGTATCAAATTACTGTAACATATTTAATTATTTTTTCCCCTCAGAAGGTCACAGTAACGGGTTAGCGCTGCCCCTTGAACATGCCCTTCAAAAGTAGTTAATTTTGCATATGTTGATAGTGGTTGGGTAAAAAGTTTAATGTTTATCTGTTTGAATTAAAATAAAGCTACCGAATTTCAACAGTATTAATTCAAGTATGTCGTCCTTGGCTTAAAAATACACGCAATGTTGGGGACGTCGATTGACCTTGTTATTCCCATTTAATCGACGTCGGTACAAAACTGAAAAGTGCACAATGATTTCACATTTTTTCCAGCCAAGAAAAATTCAGCGTCCACCTTGGAGTTTTCTTAATTGAATTTCATAACAGGAAGCTATGGAAATTAATTTTCCGAGCTGTTTTCCACCTCTTTTGTTTGGACGTCTGTTTTTTTACATCAGTCCTCTTGCTCGATATGATATCCCTCTTATGACGTCAATATTTAGTGATAGCCGCTGGCTCTTAGGCTGATTTTTGTTGAAGCATATTTGTTGTTGACTGTTATGTACGATCATGGACAAGAACTAGACATCTTCAAAGTGTTGTTTTGGTGTTTGTGGTGAATGCTTGAATTTTGTATTTTACTAGGGGTAAACTGGCATTACTTTGTGTCTATATATGATCATTTGAGGTGCCTTGAGGTGGTATTAGTCAATATTGCCAGTGAAAATCGCTAATTTTAAGAGATTTAGGTAAGGGCTTCAGTGGCTTAGGCTCCGCACCGATATCGACGTCCTTTTGAAATAGCGACGTCCTCGCGGCTTCAATCACACTCTCCGAAAAATCAATTTCAGGACACTGCTTTACTACATACCAGTCCAATATATCTACCATCACATATATAACGAGTCCAAAGCCTAGCACAGCACCCCGGTCCAATCGACCCAACTCGCCTGTTCCGGCGCCGTCGGCGGCTGCCGAGCGGCGCAGCCTACCACTCCAGGCGGCTGCCGGCCCCAGGCGGCGCGCCCGCTCCGTCAGCCTCTCGGTACTGAGCTGCTGTCGCGCTGCCGGGTCCCACAGGCGACCTGAAAAGGTCAGGTGGCAGGGGGCGTCACTGGCAGAGGCAGATACCTGAGGGGTTTACCCGCGCTCAACTACCAGCAACTCAACTACTCAGCAATTAGCAAAGTTGGGGACTGAAACGAATGAGTAAATTACACAGTTACGTAATATCACATTCGCCTAATCAAATGCAGTAGTTGAATTGCATGACAAACATTCGATAACATTACAGGGTGTCCGGATAGTTCTGGCGCTTTTCAACATTTTCTAAAACAAATGCCATTGGTTCATAGATACTAATCAATGGATCAAAACAATGACCAGGGACACCAAGCCACATGCTTCCGCTACGTGCTCATTCAATGTAACCACCGTCGGCGCCGACGACGGCCTCGACGTAGGGGAGGAAGCGCCTGCGGGTTTTGACGATGCGGGGCATTTCCAGGTCCTCCCATGCTGTCATGATGCGAGTCTTCAGCGACTCCAGGTTGGGGTGAGAAATGGCCTAGATCCTGTTCTACAAAACGCGTAGCACGCCTTAGTCGAGCGGGTCAGGTTAGGAGAATAAGGCGGCCTAATCTCATTTCGCCACGGTGATCTGGCCCGGCAAGCTCCTCTGTCAGTTTAGCTTGAATGGCAGCGGCGTTGTTGGAGGGTGCTCTGTGCTGTTGAAATGCGAAGTGACCTTTAGGGCATGTCGTCTTGACCCTCGGGTTGATGTGGCTGTCCAGGAACCCCTCGTGGGCCAGCCTGTTATTCATTTATTCGACATTGACGAAGATGATGGGACATTTTTGTCCATCAGACCCCCGCACTTTCTTCGATTGCCGCGCTGAAATGCTGCTCCGTTCCCATATCGCGTTCGAAACGGTCTGAGGATATTTTCTAAGGAATTCCCGAGTCGAAATAAACCTTTACCTGCTAAACCATTCATCGAAAAACGCCGCATCGCGCTGCAACTCGCGCCTCGTTCAAGTCACACCCGGCCGCCGCGCGCAGGCATTCAGCGACAAGGCGCATCTTCGCCCATCTACCCAACTGAAAACGATTTCAAGGTCATATTTACACGACCCCTGGCTGAGCAATCAACGAGGGGTCATGTCTGTGATGATTGGCTGAATGTCCAATAATCACAGCGCGCGTTACACGGCGTCCAAAAGAAGCGCCAGGACTTTCCGGACACCCTGATACCTGATCCATTCAATCTCCGAATCCGTCTGTGATAAAAACAGGGGCGGCTGTTGCAGTGAATAATGTGAGAAGGCAATGGATATATAACCGTCGTTGGCATACTTGATAACATGAAAGAAACTGAGAGCTTTTTAAGATTCTTACATACTTTGTAGAACTTTGATATCATCACGGTCTTGAAAGGTACCTTTCTACGCTCGGTCCCCAGCGAAAGAACGAAGGCAGTAAATACACGAACCGAACAGTACCAAGTACAAACCTATCAAACCGAACCTTATTTACTTTTATTTACTGCCAGTAACGCAGTACTTACAAATACACCTACAACAAACGTAATGTAGAATAAACCCAACGCATGACGCAGGCGCAGCTCACAATACATTTCGTGTAGAATTTCATAAAACCCAACATCAAACGTTCGGTGTTCGCTCGTGTTTAAGTGAAAAAGACAGCTACGATATGGGCACGAAAATCACAGCCGCATTCAAATTCAATGTTAAATCTGCTTGAATATCTTCGGGTATCAGCAGACCCACCTCTGAACCTGACGCAGGCGTGTAGCGTCACCACCAGCTTGGTGATGAGGTTCAGAGGGGCCGGAGGGGCCCGGCTTCGGCTCAGACCTCGGATCAACTGGGCCAGCTCAAACTTCCATTCAATCTCCGAATCCGTCTGTGAAAAACAGGGGCGGCTGTTTCACTGAATGCGAGAAGCTAATGGATATATAAACGTCGATGGCGTACTTGATGACACGAAAGAAACTGAGTGCTTTTTAAGATTCTTACATACTTTGTAGAACTTTGATATCATTATACTATTGCGTTGTTCTTTTTCTAGCTACAGTTACAAACCATAAGACAAGTTATATTGCGCAGTGGTAATGGTTCAATTACGTTGCATTACGCACACTCCTCTGTCCCGCCTCCTATTACCGCTACCCAGCACCTCACCTGACTGCGTCGACACGAATCCGTCATCATTGCCACCAGTAGCCCAGTGAGCACCACGCTGGCCACCAGCAGGTAGAGAGCCATCACGGTCTTCAGCAGGGCGCCCGACCAGGCTGGGTGGGTGACGGGGGGCGGGTGGGAGCCGTAGGAGGCCGCCAGACCCACCAGAGAGAACAGCATCATCTCCAGCGAGCTCAGCACGCCGCGCTCCGGCAGGTCTGCGGGATGAAGGCAGGAGAAAGCAATAACGCGATATGGCTTATTTCATACTCGTAGATACGCTTTTCGAGAAGAAATGCGTAAACCTGGTACCGTACTGGAGCAGCCTGCCAGCTAGAAGCCTTGCACTTGGCGACAATTACGTTATTTCGGCTCCAAGAGCACAAAAGCGAAAAGGAGAAGCGGGATTAGAGAGCTTATCGTAAACAATGCTACCAGCTATTTTTCGACATACTAAGGTATGGAATATTTCAGGAAACAGCAGTTGTAGCGGTCTGCACTGGACAGCGCTCACCTCTGGGCGGGTAGCCCATGCCGTCCTGTTTCCTCACACTCGGCATCGGCCGGACCGGCGTGAAGACGGTCGTCACCTGCAGGCTGAAGCCGCACACCACCAGACAGAGCAGCAGCAGGAACCTGGGGACGCAGGGTGTTTTATTGCATCGTACTGACGCTGTAAGATACTAAAACAAGCGCAACTGATACGGTGGCAAAGTTGTGTCATTGCCAACAATTTACACAAAGAGTAAGCAGCCATAATACTGAGGTCCAATATAGGAAGAACAGGGAAGCACATGACAATACTCGAAACAACGAGGCACAAAGCGTAAGCGTAGGTGTAACATTGCCACCCGGATGTGTGTGTTTTTTTTTTTTTAAATTTACCGTCCAAGTTCAGCGGCGACAGCCCGCAGAGTGACGGTCCATGGCCCGAACATGTGATGGAATGTCAGAAAATCCAGCAACTGCACGCAGCCCAGCAGGAGCACAAATGCCAAAATCTGGTTACGGATGTAGCTGAAACAAGACGCGACGTTTAGTCTATACTGAACCGACTCATGCCCAAAATTATTTCCAAAAAACATTATGTTCACACATCAAAAACTACCCAACCTCGGAAGGAAACAGCATGTGCTAAAAGTGCACAAAGGGAGCGATACAAAACATACATTCATGATGGAGATTTAACGTCGGACTTTCAAGTCCCGGTTCCATCTGCGATTTATGAGACCCAAATATCTTCAATGTTCTTTGGCATTACCTTCCCGTCAATCCTAACCCCTCCCCCAGGCGCAGTCACTACTCACACCGCCTCTCGTCTCTCCATCTCCGTCCCGGCCGAAACCAGCGCCGCCCCGTGGACGGCCAGGGCAGCCACACCCAGGCAGAGCTGGGCCAGCCTCAGCACCCTCAGTCCACCGCCTCCCCGCCCAGCCGTCAGCTCAGCCAGTATCAGTCCAGCCATCCAGAGCAGCAGCGCCCCCTCCAGCGGTCCGGCCAGCGGCGGCCACCGTCCACGTCCGGTGGCCACCAGAAGAGCCAGAAGTACCAACAGCTGGGCGTGGGAGGTGAGGCGGGCAGCCAGTCGCACCAGCGGCAGACGACCGCAGCGCGGGCCGACAGGTAGAGAGAGGAGCGCCCAGAGAGGAGGGCAGAGCAGGAGAGCGGCCAGTAGAGCGACGGCGCGCCACCGCGGCCAGGCCGGCCCGCCGCCGCGCCAGACGTCCCAGAGGTGGGACTGGACCACCGGGTGGGCGATCACCTGGTGAGGGGAAGGGAAGGGAAGTCACAACCCACAGCCAGACGTCCCAGAGGTGGGACTGGACCACCGGGTGCGCGATCACCTGGTGAGGGGAAGGGAAGGGAAGTCACAACCTACAGCCAGACGTCCCAGAGGTGGGATCGGATCAACGGGTGTGCGGTCACCTGGCTGGCCAGGGGGAGGGGTTTAGAAGTTACCGAGGGTCATGGAGGTGTCATCAAGGGTCACAGAAGGGTCAGAAAGGTGAAACGCGGTCATATGAGGTCACAAGATCTATGAGGTCCCCCACCCGGACCTGTTTGTGTCTCAGCTGTATGACCAGCCCCACCCCGAATCTGTTTGTGTCTCAGCTGTATGAGCAGCCCCACCCCACCCGGACCTGTTTGTGTCTCAGTTATATGAGCAGCTCCCCCGCACCTGCTTGTGTCTCAGTTATATATGAGCAGCTCCCCCGCACCTGTTTACCTGTTTGTGTCTCAGCTGTATGAGCAGGTCGAGAAGCTCCGTCTGCTGCGGGTCCACGGCCGACACTACGGCGGACACTGAGCTGCGACAGCTGGCCAGCGCCAGGAGCTCGGCCGTCATCGACTGACAGAGAGCTGCGGCGTCTCGCAGCTCGCGGGATACCGTCTCCTCCTCGTCCTGGGGAGCGAAGGCAGGGGCTCGGTGTTTCGCCGCATGCGAGGCGAGGAACGCATTCACTAACTAACGTTGTCTGTTGATCCACTTCGAAAATGCTGCACAGAAACGCTCCACTTGCTAAGCCATTTACGGTGAGTAAATCTACAACCATGACTGACCTCATATGGAACATTTACGATTTCCGTAAATAAAAACATCGTAGCCCAAGCAATGAATACCTGGAATATTCCATAATTTAGCAGAAGTGATCAGTTCACCCACCTGTTTGCAGAGGTCATCCCTCAGCAGGGCTGCCAGTTTAGCCGCCGTGTAGACGGGTGCCGGCGACGAGAGGATAAAGTCCTCCAGCAGGTGGTGTCGGCTCCTGGCGCCGATCAGCGTCAGACCGCGGATCAGCTGGGAACGGACGGTGAAGCTAGAGCTAAACGTCATATCCCACTCACCAAAAGTGTAGCATCCAACAATCCAACAGATGTTTTAAGTTCTGGCCATCCGTCAAACGCTCTGTGGCCTGTGTCATCTAAATTAAAATATTAGTTACTGCTGGGCGGAAATACACCACATCAATCTAGTCTTTACCAACATTCCCAACTACACAATTAGCTAATATCCTGATTCAAGCTGCATCAAGGCATCCTGAACACCCACCAACTCACCATCCTATCTGCGAACAGTCCATTCGAGAAGCCTCCTCTCTTCACAAGATACCCAGCCACGTCGCCATGCTCCCCGGCCACGGCGAGTCTGATCAGTGTGTCGGTGAGCTCTGTCCTCTCCTCAGGGTCCGCTGGTGAGGCGGAGTCGACCAGGAGCTGGACGGTGGTCAGGTGACCGCGCTGAGCGGCTAGGTGCAGCGCCGTCAGACCCTCCTAAAGTGTCGAGGCGGGGGGGGGGGGGTGGAGGTTATGTTCTCCTCCTTTTTCCTCCCTTCTCAGTTAAGTATGCGATTGTAGCTGAGGATGGGTGAAGTATGCGGGAATGTTAAAAAGAAAGGCGAGTTAAGAGATGCGTTATGATGGATAGGCTTTTGCGGGAGTAAAATGATACAACTCAAGCAATGGTGAGCATCACCCACATGCAGCAGCCGTTTTTACAGAAAAGTATCTCTTCTTCAGCCTTCCAGCAAGTCACCAAAAGGCTGAAACTGAGCTCATCGAAATATGTTGAAACAATTTTTACGCTTTACTCATCACAACAACAAACGCCGACCACAAACCCGGCACTCAGAGTTCAGACTCACCCAACCCAATTCAAATCCACCCATCCACCCAATCCACCCAATTTCCCCGCCGCCGTCTCCTCACATCATCTGTCGTCTCCGGCCGCGCGCCCTCCCTGAGCAGAAGCTCCGTCAGCTGACGGTGACCTTGACCCGCCGCCAGGTGAAGCAGGCCGCGACCGTGACCTTGGGTCGCCGTCAGCTGATTGGGGCGCCAGCTGAGCAGTAGGGTGACGACGGGGCAGTGGCCGCCCACACAGGCGAGCTGGAGAGGCGTGTATTCCTGAGAGGGAGGGGAAGCACACGCGAGTTGAAGAGGTGTGACCTCCTGACAGGGAGGGGGCCGGATGATCAGTGGCCAGTGGCCACCCACATGCCAGTTGCACACGCGACTTAGAGTGACGTGTCAATAAATTGCTGTCAACTTGAAGTAATATAGTTGATCGGCACAAATACCACCATGACATTGATCAGCCACCATCGTAATAATTGCAAGCACCTGATGACTGTCAAGAGTTTACACCACTATTTCAAACGAACCCCACAAATCCACCAATCTACACAAACCCAATCCACAGGATGTCATTCCCCTGTCCATTCCCCATCCCTCCCTAGCCCCCTCCCCTACCGTCGGCTCTGTGACCGGGTCGACGGGCGCATCTCCTGCACTGTTGAGCAGTAACCGGGCCGTATCCTCATGTCCGGCCAGTGCAGCCAGGTGAAGGGGAGTCAGTTGACTCTCGGTCGCTACTACAGGTGGTAACACTGCAGTGATGTCCCCCGTCTCATCCGACGGCGGCTCCGAGGGAATGGTGGGAGAGATGTGCTGCAGCAGCTCCCAGACCATGTCTGAAGGGAGAGAGAGGGTGATGTAAGCGAGAGGGACACTACATACATGGGGAGAATGTAGGCTGATAGTTCGTCGAATTATAAATTTGACGCTAGTTTTTGAACAGCAAAGAGGTGAAAATATCTAACATCGCACATGTTAGAACACGCCAATGTGCGACAAACTCCAATGACTTTAACTACGTCCACCATCCCCGCGTTACCGATGGCATTGGTGCCATGCGGTACAGCATAGATTCAGGCGCTGACCACTAATGCCATCTAGTGGCAAAGAAGCGTACCACACGACCGGAGCCCCAAGCGTAGCGTGTAAATAAATAACTTGTCAATTCCTCGATGCTTTGATTTAGTTTTTGTGCGAAGCAATGGCAAGACACACTAGCCAATCACGTCGGTCTACTCGCCTATATTTCCGTCGTAGGCGGCGATGTGCAGCGGTCCGAGGCTCGTCTTTTTGCTGACAGCCTCCATGGAGACCCCCAAGTCTCTGAGCTGGGTCAGGACGCCGCTGTGGCCGCCACGGACAGCCAGATGGACGCAGGTGAGGCCCAGCTGGAACGGAAAGGCGAGCCGTGGTCAACGGAAAGGTAAGAAGAGACTACGCGGAATAGAGCGATGTTTGAAAATGTGGGCTACCCACGAGCAAACTAAATGTGGAAGAATCTCAAAGCATCACGGGTTTCACGAATCTAATGAACCTCTTACTATGGTCCAGCACTTCTCGCCCTCCCAACGAAATGAATAACACAAACATTAGAACAACTCGGAAAATTCCGAGCTAAAAACCAGAATCACGCACTTTGTCCTCATCAGAAGCGCTGGCGCCGGCTTCGAGCAGCACTTTGACCACTTCAGCGTTTCCCGTCGCGGCCGCTAGGTGGAGAGGTGTCGCGTCATCCCTCATATTGCGAGATGACGTCACCATGATGGAGTTGAAGAGCAGCAGCTCGCGGATCACGTGCACCGATCCGTGCATAGCGGCCACGTGAGCGCACGTGTTACCATCCTGAAGTGAACACAGATACTTCGAACAATTGCAAGACAGGTAATGGCATATCAAAACGATTGTTCATAAGCCCGCCCGCTTCAAATTATCATTACCCGTTAAATTTACGCTACCAAAGGGCGAAGGTTTTTGAAAACGTGCCATGAAAACGTAACGCAACGTAACGTAAAGTCAGACTCCCACCGAAAAAACTACATGTGCAAAAAAAAAATGCAGCACCAATGAGCTCGCACGCACGCAACGTTCGCAAACTAATTAATTGAAATCATAGGCCTCTAAAACCCAAGTACCCTTGCGTACCACCCTCCACACCACCCATCCTTCCGTCACCTTATCGGCCAGGTCTGGCAGCTCGGGGCTGTACTTGAGCAGCAGTTTCACCACCTCAGCGTGGTCGTACCGCGCCGCCAGCAGCACAGGGGTCAGTCCGGCCGCGTCTCGAGCTGAGGTGTCGCTGCCGGCCTGTACCAGGGTACTGCAGACCTCCAGGTGACCGGCCGCAGCGGAGAGGTGCAGCGGGGTGCGGCCGTCCTGAGGGCGGGGGCGGGGGCAAAGGGGAGTTGAAAGGGAAAAAGGTGTCGAGAAAGAGGACTACAGGTCGAGAAATGATGCCTGAATGGTATCCGTGTAAAAGAAAATGACACTACCACTTCAGTCCATGTTTAGTCATTATTGAAGCAGTCACAGTATAAAAACGGGAAACATGCACAAATTCCATGCATCTTACTTGAAACTGCACAAAATTTTACCGTTTTTGCCTTGTGGTGCACCCAAAACACGGCAATAGACGTGCAGCAGACTTCAAAAGCTCCAACAAGCTTCTGAGCTGCTGAATATACCACCAGCAACCCAAGTTCCCTCATACACCACCACCCTGACGGACCTGCGCAGCGATATCGGCCGCCGCTCCGTGTCTCTGTACCAGCGACTCCACCAGACCAGAGAAACCTCCGGCCGCGGCCAGGTGCAGTGCCGTGAACCCGGCGGCGCAGCGGGTGTTCAGCAGAGCCGGTCGGCCCAGCAGGGTCTCACACAGGCCCGAGAGACCGGCCGCCGCCGACAGGTGCAGGGCAGTGCGGCCGACCGAGTCCAGAACGTCCAGTCTGGGCGGGAGAGAGATAGTGGTTGGAGGTAATGTCTCACGAATCAGACGCAAGAACATCGCTAATCAGCTGTTTTGCTCACACCAGCACAAGCAATAAGCATTTTGCGTACCTTACGTCGTCGTTTTCCGTAAGGAACCATGAACTTTCATGCCGATATCATCAACTTCTCATTCTGTCGTAATGTGATTCTCACTCAATAATCTACACCGAACCATGACGGTGAGTAAAATCAAACAGCCCGTACCTGGCTCCATTGTCCATTAGCGTTTTGACCGTCTGTTGGTGACCCTCGCGAGCCGCCACCATCAAACACGTCTCCCCAGTGGCGGTCTGGAGATTCAGCACGGCGGCAATGCTGGTCACCTGTCAAAAATAAGGCAGCGCCAGCAAAATTCAGATCGCCATCAACAGTTAATATTGCGAGCCTCAAACTGGTTTTCTCGCATTAACCGGCCGAGTGCCGCACCTATTAGACTGCTAATAAGTAATATATCTCTTAAGCGTTCTTTGGCGGCACTGAAGGCCACAAGCAACGAACATGATAAAACCGGCCTACGAAGGAAGACGATGTGAATTCCTGCTGAGTTGCTCACCTGGTCCCTGAGCAGTGCCAGCATCTTCTCCAACAGCTGATCGTTGCCGCTGCGGGCCACACAGTGGAATGGCGTCTCGTGGTTCTGAAATACGAAATACAAAACCAATTAGGAAATCCGTATACCACAGCTGCGGCGAAATTAAATAAGCCCAGATTCGTGGTCAGAATGAGGAACAATGTTTTATTAAGACATAATGGCATGATCAAAACGCCTTATACTTCACCCATCCCATACATTTTACCAGAAGACAATGACATCACCAATCTATGACGTCACTGACCTGTGACGTCACATGGTCCAGCCGGGCGCCGCTAACACAGAGGAGGTCCAGTATATCCCCCGCCTCCTCCCCACTCCAGGCCTGCGCGCTCCGGCTGGCCGCGCAGTGGAGCGGGGTCAAACCGGAGACGTTCTCGGCGCAGAGGAGACGCTCCAGACGTGTCTCCGAGTCGGCGACGTGACGTAGTAGGGCTGTGATGACGTCACGGTGGCCGGCCGTACAGGCCAAGTGGAGAGGAGTGTCGCCCGTCTGGAGAAGATAATCAGCAAACGAGGTGCTATTGGACGTTTTAAAGCCGTCAAAACCAAGCATAAGCGACAAATAATTTCCCATGGAAGCGGACATGCATGGAAGCGGATAAAAGACATGGAAGCGGATAAAAGACATGCAAGCGGATAAGCTCTCATTGTATACCATTTCAATTGTACTTAATGGTTAACCAGATACGATGATGAATGTCCGATGATTGGTTGCACGATGATGGTTCGACGCCCATTGACATTTTTCAGCCATGATTATCATGTCCTCGCATCAAAACCAATCCTTAATGCATCCATCAAACATCTCCTCAAAGAGCCAGTTACCCGACATCGATGCACGAAATTACACCCATCCCATCACTCGTCAGATATCCGGACCTGAATATATCAGCACGCTCACACTAACATTGATATGACCAGAGTCGACACCACCTGACCTGACACTGGACGGCGGGCTCGGCCCCCTCCTCCAGCAGCAGCTGGCACGTCTCCAGGTGACCCCGCTCCGCCGCCACGTGCAGAGGCTGCCGACCTGAGATCGAGCGACACAGAACAACTAACCTAGCGTCACTATATAACTACGGTGGGTAGTTAATGAATTACTGCTTTTCGGAAACCGTTTTCCAACCTCCTTATTGAAATATTGAAATAACATAAGAGGACAAATGTGTTAAACTTTCGATGAAGTTACACAATTATTCGACTTCACGGCCTAAAACAAATATAACCGCGACATCAGATCCACTTACCCTGGTGATCGGTGCTGTCGACGGATGCCCCGGACTTCAGCAGAGCCCGAACACTCTCCGTACCGGCCGCACCGCCGGCTGCCAGATGTAGAGGGGTTTCATCGCCGGGACCACCTGTCGGCGAGAGATAAACATAAGCTTTTAGAGAAATACGCAACACAACGCCATATAGACTTCATCATAATCGAGTGCATGATTCATCTTTGAATGAGATATGCGCTAATGAAACACACGTCACACTAGTGAAAAGAACAATATTAATGTCGTTTGATGCAAAATAATGATCATACACATTACATCCCGATGGACACACGCAAACAGCACAGTGCTTACCATTTTTTGCAAGAGAAAATATACATTAAATAGTATTTCAACAAAGTTTAACAAACTTCCTTGACCCGTCAGTATCCCAACCCGTTAACCGTCGCCATGCTAGAAAGAGCACGTGTCGGGCTCGCGCCCGACCCCGACTGACCGCCGGCCTTGAACGATATGCCCTGGGGCGAGGACCCGCCAGCTGACACCGGCAGAGGCGCACTCAGCCAACTGGCTGGGTGGGGTAAATGCTAAATAGCGGAGCGAACCTACCGGTTCGGATAATTTTCGTGGAATTCCTATATTCATTCCGGTTCCCACCGGTGGTATATTTGAACAGGTACAAAGAAAGCGAGTGAGAGCAGCCCATGGAACAGAAAACAGATGGCGTACATGGCAGTTCTAATAGATAGATGGCGCTGCTCGTGGAAGGGGGTTGGATTTAGGATATGTACATGCTAGTATTGTTAGAGTGGTCAGTCAGTGTTAGTAGTTAAGTAGGTTGTAGGTAAGAGCAACGCCATTGCCATTAGATTCACACAGTGCATACAGTGAATGCAGCTGAGGAGAAATCTCACATCCCCCTCACGCCACCACCGGGGCAGTGTGATCGCCCAAACGACTGTCCCCACTGCTCACCATCGGCGGCCCACCTGGCCAGGCCGGGACGGTGCCGTCCACGGCCCTGGGGAGAGCTGGGGGATGCTTCCCCAGCCGGGGAGATCTGATGGCTACCTCCCCGGCGCTCCAGGCGGGCCGCCAGCCCCCGCCCGCACCGCCCGGCAAGCAACCCCGGACGGTGCCCCCTAACCACCGACCGGGCGAGCGAAGCGTCGACCCGTCTAGGTCGGCGCTCCGCACGCCCGGCCGGCCGACCGGCCCCTCACAGGAGGGGCCAGTCCCGGGTTGGCCCGGATGGGTCATAGGGGCGGGGGCTTGGGCTTGTTTCGCGCACATCGAGGCCAGGCGCCCAGTCCGGCATTCAGGCGGCAGCATCACCGGCGCTTGAGGCGGGGCCGGCAGCATCCACGACCAGTGGAGCGTCAATTCAGAGCAGGGTCATCATCTGCAGCGGCCGACGTGGCATCCCACCGGCGTCGGCAGGGTCCGAGGTCAGCGGAGGTCGAGGTTAGGCCACTCGCAGAGCGACTCGCGCCGTCAGCAACGAGAGCCCAGATTGCAGCATCCTGGTGACTGTGACGGGCGACTGAGACGGACGCTGGTGGCTTGCTGAGAATCAAGTCGGAGGTAGGTATGGCACGAGTCTGATCGGCGGTGGATCAGAGCCGGATCTGCAGCGGCCGACGTGGCGTCCCACCGGTGTCGGCAGGGACCGAGGTCAGTGGAGGTCGAGGTTAGGCCACTCGCAGTGCGACTCTCGCCGACAGCAAAGAGGGCCCAGATGGCAGCATTCTGGCGACTGAGATGGACGTCGGCAGCTTGCCGCGAGTCACATCACATATATACGTATCGAACACATACAATGTAAATAACAGTACAGGACACAAATGAGGCAAACGGAGTTCTCTAAGACTGCCCGTTCGGAGAGGTCGGCCGACGGTAAGAAAACGGGAACAACAGACGGTATGGTTCTGAGTCCGGCCCCGAATGGGTGCTTTGACGTGTCGACCATTCTTGAGCCTGTAATGACATGTAGTTTCTTTTCATTTAGTTAAACATTTATTTACAATTTCTGGTGATGAAAGAAGTCACGATTGGCGAATCTCTGGATCATCTCTGCAATAGCTGCGGCTAGCCGGAGCGCAAAATTGACAGAAAAGGGGTACTTGCGACGTGCGGATTAACACTCACTATTCTACAGCGACATGAGGAGCCATTGCGTCGGCAAATGGGAAGCAGCTCTGAAACCGACCACTCAGCGATAGGCGGCATCATCAAAGCTGCGACGGCAATGACCGGTGATGTAGGAGAAGTCTAAAAATCGAGCAGTTGTCCAATGGTCATCATACTATTGCCTTTTTTAACAATTGATGCAGTAATGTGACTACACCCAACACATAACGAAGCAATTTGATTCCCAGAGCTCATTAATACGAAAAAAGATTTGCAATTTAGCTGGTGGGACTGTCACTGACCAAGCCGTAATCGCCACGCCATATGTGGAAGGCTTTTGGTGTCAATACATACATACATACATACATACTTCAACGGCCTCCTCTCCCCTACTCCTCTGAACTAGGCACATACCTTTCCGTTCCATCTGGGCACCATGGCCTAGGAGCACCTCCACGGCGGCCGTCTGACCCGCCCCGGCAGCCAGGTCGAGGGACGTGAGCCCTCCCTGTCAGCGGGAACAACGGAATGACACTGTCACAGTAATTCACAGAGGTAGCCGTCCGCTTTTACAGATAGCCACACACACGAAATGAAGAGATATTAAGTACGATCGCAAATGCGTGTTAGCTGCTACGGTACAAGACACTTGCGGTCTTGTACGAGCTTACTTACTATTACCATCTATTACGATGCACGATCTTAGTACGATCTTATTACGAGCGAGCGAGCGCAGCGAGCGAAGCGAGTCTTTTCAATATAACGGAAAAATCTCAGTATGAGCGGCCCGGCCCGGCCCGGCCTGTAACGCTTTTGAGAGGCTTATATCTCAGCAACCGCTGGACCGATTGGCCTGCGGTCTTTTTTGTTGGGTAGCCCCATCCCTTCTACCCCGTAATTGACTACTTTTGATACACTTCAGTGACCGTCGTGGCACGTGCCACGTGAAAAGTCAAGGGTGTTCAAGCTGTTTTGCAAAAGTAGTGATTTTGAGACGCTCATATCTCAGCAGCCGCTTGGGCGATTGCCTTGCGATAATTTTTGTAGGGTAGCAGCATCCCTTCTACCAAAAATAGGATACTCTCGATGCATGTGGGTCACCCCCATTGCACGTGCAAAATACAACAATAAGAGGTGTCAAATTTGTTCCCATTTTAATAACTCGGTAATTACTGGGGCGATTTCGCTGAAACGTGGCATATAGGTAGGCACCTACCAGGCAATGCATTCCCATGTGTTGCGGTTAGGGTGCTACTGCACGTGCGCACGTGCAGGGGGCGTTTCCAGATCTCGAGAACGGCTGCGCCGATTGTGCTCAAATTTGGTACACGGTTGGGGACCAGTTAGTACGGTGCCGTGCAAAAGTCAGTTTGGACCCCGTTTGCACGTGCGCACGTGCAGAATGCCGCTTCCAGATCTCAGGAACGGCTGGGCCGATTGCGTTCAAATTTGGTACACCGCTAGCGACCGGTTAGAAGGGTGCTTTGCGCAAGCCCGTTGGAAGTACTCTCTCACCCTTCCGCACGTGCAGGGCTCACTATCTCGCTCGCTCGTTCTTCGCCCAAAAGGCGTTTTACTGGTATCATAGTTACATCAGGTAGTTTTGAATATCATCTCACGGTAGAAAATAAAAACGCTACATCTTACCCGACAGGTGGTGTCGACCAGTTCGCCGTTCTGTATCAGAGCGGCGATCACCGGACCGTGGCCCTCCAGCGCCGCCTGGTGGATGGCCCGCATACCGGCCTGAAAATACGAACATCAGCGGGAATCGAGCCAGAGTCAACGCAGAATACAGTAGAAATGCGCAGATACGGTAGAAAGGAGACACATTCGTGTATAGCGCACCCGTCCGTCGTTTTAATCCTCAGGACTTCAAATCCTTCTCCTCCATATCGCAGCCCTCGCTCCGGACTGGACAGGCAACTTTATCTCATGCGGGTTGCTCCCTTGGAGCGGCACCGCTGCTCCCAAGGGAGCACACCCGTAGCCGGGTAATCGCCACGCCATATGTCGAAGGCTTTTGGTGTCAATACATACATACATACCAACAATTTCCATGGAAAAATACCGAAACCAAACCGACTTAGGAATATGAGGAAAATACCAACTTTTTACCAAATTCTCAGCCTCTTTAACATTAGTGAGAAATCATAATAACAACAAAATACCAAATGCACTCGCCTTGAAATACCAAATACCAAGTTGGTATTGGTTTGGTATCGGAATACCAAAAAGTTGGTATCCGATTGACATCTCTAGTCCTGTCAGACCGAAAGGGCCTAAACCAACCAAACAAAGAAAGTGTATATCAAAATTTCAAAAATATATGCCTAATCCAACACGACTGTAACTTCTGGTCTCGCTGCAGGCCTCACAGAAACGCATAAAATACCGGACAATGTTTTCTCAACAGCAGTCTGCCGTTTTCCTTGTGCGTGCTGTTTAATTGAAGCACGCAATGCGCGCTGTAGCCTAACATGTTGTCAATCGTGGATTCAACCGGGATTCAAGGATAATTGCGAAAAACATTCGTTAATTTCCGTTTGCTGTCATATGCCTAATGCTTCTTGATTTGTTCGGGCATGTAAGACCATGTAAGACGACACCACAGCAACAATTATGCCAGTGCGTGCCAAGTAACACCTACTCTTCAAACGGCAAAACGCAACTTTCCCTAGAAATAGCATGATCTCAGATCTAAAATACGTTCAGGACCAGCTAAATGAAATCAGTCCCGACCCCATTCGTGCATTGACTTTGTGATCGGTTCATTGGAGCAAAACTTTTTATGGTTATTATGTTTATGTTATTATGTTTCGTTATTATGTTGTTATGTTTTATGTTAGTTTTTATGTTTCGTTGGGGACAAGCTCTTTCGGCCTCACCAGACCACTGCAGAGTTATGAGATGATAGGATAGGGTGGAGATATTGGGTGTGGACCACCGACGGTGCCCCACAGCGGCAGGGACCGTCCCGTGGGATTGACGGGAATGTCGCGATGGGACCGATGGAACAGCCCACCCTGCCGCTCCAACGGTCACCCCGGAGGGTTTATCTGACGTCGATTTAACCTCACCACCGGTTGTCTGGTGGGGGTGTCCACCAATCCAGAAAGGGAAGCGTGAGGAGGGATGCGGATAGGTTTATCCTGAACAAGACAAGGACGGATGAGACAACTACCCAAATCGTCCCACTAACGACGATTCCCTTCACATTTCATTTCTGGATCGTCATATCTATCGGCACACGATACCGTTTTCAAAGCCTCGTTTCCGGCAGCCATTTAAGCCCTTACATCACATTTATCCATCTCACCTTATTTGGCATCCTCAGGGGCAG